CACAAGTTTAAAGAACAGAGAGTCAATGATTAGGGGTCCTAACAGACAGGATATGTACACACACACACAAATATATCTATGTATTACAAGAAGTCAAGACTTCTAATTTAGCCATCCCATTAGCACAAATAAATCAAGTGAAAATAAATGCAGGGTTCTGGGGGTGGGGGGGTTGCAGATCAGCATTTTGTTAACCATCAAAACAAATGCTCTTGTCATGCAGACTGGCTGTATTGCTAGAATCTGCTGGAAAAGGTATTTTATGCCATTCTAATGTAAGTCAAAAATATGTCAGTGTTTCTGGTCATTTGCAAAGAGACAAAGCTCACAGCAAATTTCTGGACAACATCGGGCACCTCGCCACCCCTTTGATATTTTTTTTCTGCGGGTTACAGTTTGCTTTGGCTCAGAAACACAGAGTAAAAGTATTTTTCCTGGGGCTTTTGCTGACTTCAGCTCCTAAGGGAGCCTGTCATGCAGCTGTACATCCTATGAAATAGTCACCGTTCCAGAGAGTGATGCCTTGGAGCAGCTATATTCTGTTACTGTGCTGTGGGGAAATTATGGGCATCTAAACTATCTTTCTAAAGCCAGGAGGCTCAGACTTAGGTCTAATAAAACTTTAGAGTCACTGTATTGTTTTTTCTACTTTTGCACAGATGAAATTGAGGATGAAAATATGCTCAGAATTCCAAAACTGCCGTCCTATCACAGAATTATTGCTAAGAGTAGAAATTATTGAGGTCAGAGATTCCATTAAGTCCTCAAAACAACTGTCATAGCAATCACAGTTGATGTAAAATTCGATCACCCTCTTCACAAACTGTATCTTCATAGGATAAAGTGTTTAGGATAGTGTATTAGAAACAATACACACCCTGAGAACAAACAATACCTGCCCAAAACACGGAGGGGAAACAGCATGGAAGGAAAATGCCAAGCCTTTAGTATTTCAAAGGATAATGCTAAACAATCAGAACATCACTGCATGGGTGCAAGATGCACATCACTCACACCGGGCATGGGGAGCAAGGTGAGATGCAGACAAAGCACAGGCAGATGTGTGGTAATTTAAAAGCCATACTGGGAGAGCTTCATCCCTGTATCACCCAAACCAGGAGAGAGAGGACATAGCCCTGACACAACTTTGGCTGGTTGTGTTTATAAAACTACCTTCAGTCCTGGGCTCAGCAGTCCCTCACCTTCCTATGTCACACAGTTGTATCCCACATGTCCTTAGGCTCAGGTATTTAAACTGCTTTAACTTGGCACCCAGGAACTGCCTGCTCAGAATTACTTTCTCCTGACATCTCTCTTGGGGAGAGATTGAAAATTACCTTTTCCACTTCTGTTTGTAGGAAATTAAACATGAGTTTTATGGGCAGATTATAGTGCAGTCCCAAACCAGTTTTCCCCTCTAACTCTCTCTTGGACTCTCTGAGTTGGCACCTGGCATGTCTAAATTGACTTGGAGATGTGACAGGAGAGGATGGGAGAAGAAAAACAGCACAGAGCTGGGATATAAAGACTCTATAAACTCAGTTTCCAGACAGCATTTACATTCTGACGTGCCAGCCAGGACATCACAGAACAGGGAGAGTTCTACACAATTCTCTTGCACATCCAAACACAGAAGTTTAGCCTATGCTGAGGTATATGGCACCAAACCCAACCTGCTAGTGACACTAGGGCGAAGCTGGGGACCATCTGGTGGTGCAGTGACAAGGATGAAGTGATTTGTGTCACCTGGATACAGTCCTGCCACCATTTTGATACTGTCTTTAACTGCGTGCTTGTAATCCACCAACTCATGGATCAGAAACAAAGAAAACACCTTTAAGAATATCCTTTAAATTACAAAGTCATGGGCTCAAATGTCAGAAAATGGCAGATACACAGTGCTATGATTCTTCATAATCTTGCCCCTTTTTGCAGGTTTCCTGTTCACTGTTCCTGTGTTGCATAAATGTGGGCATGTGAGGTAAAATCAAGGTTGCACCAGCCATCTGTATACAGTTCTAATTTTTGACTCTTGTCTCTTCAGTTTGAATTCCTTTCTTTTAAAACAGATATTGAAATTTTGGGGGGAGGGTGGTATATGATGCAGATGTGTTTGATTTTATGGAGGGGAGGGAAAAGCCCACCTCTTGCAGGCACTTTAGGCAGCACTTTATGGCCCTTCACAGCACAGAACACAGGACTGTGCTCTCATTTCACTTGCCAGAATAAATACATCAGTTAGGTGCAAGGGACAGATTATTATCCCAGTGAGAGGGAGAGACAGAGCAGATTTTCAGTTCAATCTCTTCCCTAAGGGGAAGCTGGAGGAACTCAGGCTTCACGGGAGAAAAGGGACTGAGCACCTCAAAGCTGTTTCTGTTCTCTAAAGCTGGGGCAGAGCGAGCCCAGCCTTCAGACAGCTCTGCTGATTCAGTATTTTGACACAGAAGAGGATTGAAGAACAAACATATTTTCTTCTTAATTAAAAGAAATGCTAGTTTGATAAAAACCCCACAAGCTAGGGCTTGTTTTAATTTCACCAGAAGCCACATTTCACAGGACAAAGGAAAAGCCTTTCCCTGCTGTCACACATCCACACAGACAGCAGAGAGAAGCATCAGCACTTCCTAAAACAAACAGAAGAAAGAAGTCTTGTCTGGGGGGAATAGTACAGAGCAGAAAGACTTCAGCCTAGAACAGACACTTCAGAAAAATGCACGCTTTTTAAAAAATTACTGCTGTTAGCGTTGTGTCTCTGAGATAGTGTTTCTTTCCTCCCATCAGTGTACTCTTTTATCTAAGGAATATTCCAAATGCCAGGAATGCCAACCTTGTTTAATACAAGCTAAAGTGAAAGCAATAAGGAAAATATAGACAATCATGTCTTTCTTTGCTTGTCATTCAGCTGTTTGGCAGTATTTGCACTCTGAAAAGAAAAGCGAAATTGCTTTACTCTTCCTAAGTGAGAAGACTGTTAGCTTTTAACAAGTAAAATATTCCATATATACAGTATATATATTGTAATATTAAAAAAAAACCCAAAAAACATAATATATAGTTCTTTTAAGAAGTGAGGTGTCTGCATAGTTTCTACACCAGCTGAAGAGTAGATTTCAGGACTTGAAACCACCGATCTAGAGAATTTTCCCCATACACCTCTTACCAGTCACAGAAATTACCATGCAAAAATAGGGAAGAATTAAAAAGGAAAAAACAAAGTTTCCCTATTTGCTTTTTATATGATCCTGGAAAGTAAAGACTTTTTCAAGATGAAAGCTCAGCAAGTTAGTGATGATAACCTGCCTGGTACTGTCATAGTGCCATCCGTGCCACACGAACCAAAGATGACTGTTCTGGCTGCTCAGAAGGACCACGTCTTTAGGATGGATGTTGGTGTCACTGGTGTCACCCCAAATCCAGTACAGAACTAGACCTCACCACTCTGGCACGGGAGCTTGGACACAAAGCTCCTCAGGAACTAACTGTTGCTGATCTGTGAAATGCCTACACGTGAAAACCCCGTGGAAAAGGAAGAAAAATTTTTGCCTGTATGATTAAACTGCAACATGTTTAAGGCATTACATAACCACCACATTATGTTGCTAGAGGGTATTTTTAATGCTTTATAGCTCAGACATTTTTATAACCATTTCTTAAAAGTTCACCAGATGACACCTGATTGTTGTCATTATCAGGCACAGAAATATTTTTGCTGAAATTGTAAAAGGGTCAGAAAATACGTTTGTAAGTTCACATAAAGATGCCATTAAACTATTTAAAAGGGCAAAGAGCTTTCTTTTTGAGTGGGTTTTTTTTTTGATGTACAATGGGAGTACTGGCTGGATCTTTCCATCTGCTGTGCTGGCTGTTACTGCAGATGGTCATAATCTGTACATATGGTATGTGCATATATAAACTGAAATCAGGGTTGTCTTGGGGTAAAAGCAGGCACACAACAGGAGTTCAGATGCCTAACACAAGAATGTTTGTGAAAAGGATAATTTGGAGCATTTTTATTTTCTAGGGGATATTTACATAAAATTAGGATAAGAAGCATTGAGTCTTTGCTGGGGAAAGAAACAAACCACAGAAATCACTCAGCTCTTCTCAGTTAAACTCTGAATCTGCAATTTATTTGGAATCAGGTGTTGGCTTTAACTGAGCCTTGAATTTGTGTTAGGTTTTGGTTTAAATCAACACAAGACAACACCAAACTCTCCTAAACTTCACAGCTAGCCGAGCTTTGGAGTCCCTGCTTCTAATTCAGAAGCAGAGCTGGAGGAGGGATTTTCTGATTAGAAAATAGCCTTCCAGTCAGCATGTAGTAAAAGTCTTCAGAACATTTAATGGTCACTGGAAATCATAATGATCAAAGAAAGGGCAGAAAAATTTGTCATTAAAAGTAGTACTTCGTGGTAAATCACGTACTTACTAGGCAGTTCTGCAACCTATAATAGTACCTGATTAGCACTGTTGGACACTTCTGGTTGCATACTGGCTTACAAATAAAAGTTTAAAAAAATATATTTTTATAAGGTTTTGAACTTCTACTTAGAAATTCTGGAAAATCAGGGGAAATACTCCAATATTTGTGTGGTGTGCAGAAAAACTCGAAAAGCAACTCACAATTGCACTTATGAAACATTTAGCAACAAGTGCCTGAAAAAAAAGATAAGCCATTGAAAAAGACATGAAGAATTTACCTGATATGCAGTCAAATGCATTTTTAACATTACCTTTTCTAATATCCTGTGTATTACAGTTTATTGGCAGGCTGATTGTTAGAGCAGACAGAGTCATGACTCTTCTATTCCTTTTTTTTCTCCTTTCTTGATATCTGCTCTGTTGCTTTCTTTGCTCACCTTTCAGCCTTGTACTAGGAAAGGGCCTCACACATTCAGCTACAAGGCTAGAAAAGGAACATATACTGACTTTAAAAGAGTTGCTGCCACTCTAATACCATTTCATAAGGTACTGTTTCTTTTTCTCTCTTATTACAGGTTTGTTTTGTGAATTTAGATGCCAACAGAGATGATTGCAGCAATGAGCAAGTGAAACAGGTAACTGTTTAGGTCCTGAAAACACTCCCAGTTGATCTAGTTGGGTGTGCCAGAACTTTCCAGTAAAAACTCAGATTAAAATCCTGTGAACAAATCAAAGCCAGCCCTAGATTTTGAATCCTTAAGAGAGCAATGCATGAGGATTCTGAAACTATCTCAACACTGGACCATGTTATATAACTTTTCTTACTCCCATCCCAGAAAAACATAATGGATTGATGCACTCTGTGAAATCACAGCAGTTATATGAGTAGATTTCTTGCTCAGCCTTGGTTTTGTCATAGAAGTGATACACGGATGTGTCACACATCCAATTTTTTAAATTGGCATAACAGTGCATAAAAAGAATTTCTGGTGTCTCTCTGTCCTACTGCCTAAAAGCCTTTGAAAATCTTCTACTCATTTAGGTCTTGTTCAGCTCAGCAGCCTTACTCAAACTCCAGACAGTATGATTATGTGGTCTTTAGGAGGGGTCTAGATAAGATATTTATCTAGAACTAAAGATACTTTTATCTGTTTAGCTGAAAGTTTTGAGAGTAGGAAAAAAAAGCATTTAAAAAAAATAATAAAGATACTTAGTGAGTGAACAAAGGTAGGATCTCCTGGCAATAACCCAGAGAGTTCCTCGATTAGAGCATTCCAGTCAGTTTGCTGAAACCACTTTTAGCTCAGAAGAGAACAACCAGTGCTGGGACCTTGATGCCTCCTGCAAGTCATTTGCTAGCACGCCCAGTTAGGTTTTTTTCTATGCTGTTTTCTGCATCCTGGATCTGTGAAAATTCAGCTGTCAAAAAATAAATGCAGCATCTTGCAGCAAATGACTTTTCTGTTGAATCAGCACGTTAGCTGTGCAGAACAGCTTGAGAGGGTCTACTTTACTGAATCCCTGGAAGCACTAGTGGTTTTCTATTAAGCAGTGGTTTTATTGTTGTTCACAGTGTTTGTTGAGGAACAAAAGCTGTAGCGGGTCATGAGGAAATACCACAAGTTTCTCCTCAGTCTTAGAACCAGATATCTGTAAAAGCCATCAGAAACTAGCTTTGTGCAGCTACCCTTTATTTTCATCACATTTTTTTGTGTATAATAAGCATTTTGTGTAAATTAACACTGACTGGAGATTAATTTCTTAAAACACACTGGTGTCATGAAAGCATTGCTTAGAAGAATTTTGAAGATGTTAGCATAACTGTTGTTCATATGAAATATTTAACCATTTTCTAACTGGCACTTTCTTTACTAATAGGTACTGTTAGGATTTTGCATTACCCACCAAACCTTGGAATGAGTTAAATTGAGGCGGGTTTAGTGTAAAATAATCATGTTTTCAGACTTTTTTTTTAAATTCTGAACAAAAGGTAAAGAACTGAGGATATATAAAATACCATCATTTTCTACCTAAGAAATCTGATAAAATGTAGCAATCTAGGCAGTAGAAAAGCAGAGATACGTAGGGAAATGGGTGTGATAACAGAAAGGTTATAATTTGAAATAAGAAAAGGATGAGAACTTTTTTGTACAACAGTAAAATGTCAAACTGAATTGAAGGACTGAATTTAGTTATGTCAAATAAAAATGCTTAGTCTCATGTGATCAGTCTACTGAAAAGTGAACTGTTCTCTAATATTGATTTAGCTTTTCTAAGCCAGAAAGTTTTATTGTGTCTAATTCACTCTAAGGAAAAATAACAGTATGGCAAGCTTAATATTTTCAAGATGAAAAGGAAGAAGTGAAGCAAAGCCTATGGCTGGGTGCCCAAGATCTGCACTCCCTAACTGTCTTTGCCATGTGTTGTGCACTGACACATGGGCTCTGTCAGTGCCTAAAGTGGAGGTGGTATTTACTCTGCTCCCTCTGTAAGGGACCAGCCTTGATTTTGTGCTCTTAGAGCAAGCACACAGAGATCCCTGGCAGAGGGAACTGCGCTCTCAGGCACTGTCCTTTTGTCCTGGCCTCTGTGCACAAGAGAGAGATGTCCTCTGCACGGGCTGGGGACTGACTCCCACCAGTATGGCAGGACAAATCTCACGTGTTACATAAAATCACTGATGCTGTGACTGTCACTGCATTTACCTTTCGCAAATACTTAACACGTAGGAAGTGACTGTGTCATTACAAATGAAAGGTCATAAGCCTGGAGGAAAACAGGAAGATTTGCCCTGCTCTCATTACCACACCTAACAAAGCTTTTCTATTTCAGACCATAACAAAGACAGCGTTTCAGTCTCTCAGGGACTCGCTTGTAATAGGAAGCACTGAGATTCACAAACCCAGTCGAGCCATTTAGCACGTGACAATGTCAGGGATGGCAGATTGTCCTGCTGGACACTTGTGCAGAAGTTCATAATGTCTGGTCTGGTGTCTCAAAAGAAAGAATGTGCATTTTAATGCTGCCAGTTCCATCCTTAACCTAGTTGAAGTATCACTTTCACATAAGCTTTCTAAAGGGGTGCACATAAGTGGTATTTCATTTTAATATTCCCAAATATTAAAAAAAACTGTGCCACTCAGACTTCATTACCTGACTGCAAAATCTATCTTTCATCCTACAGAAGTTGATCAGCGTCTCACCAAACCTCCCTAAACTCATCAGTTCGATGAACGTGCAGCCACCAAAGGAAAATGAAATAGTCCTGCTGAGTGGATTAGCATCAGGAAACCTGCAGGCCGATTACCAGGTTCCCCAGGTAGGAATCAAACTCATCTTTAAGATCACATCACACCTGTGAAGGATGGAATTTGGAATAGGGGGAAAAATGAAGCTGAAAGCAAAGACCCCATGGCAGTTTGAGATGAGTGGGAGTTTGCATACATAAAAAACCAACAGACTTGTGTTAGACACATTAAAGTGAGTGGTGGGTGGGGACACACACACACACCATTTACACAAAGATAGCCAGAGATCCTGCTATTCCCTCTAGATCCTGAGGGTGCCTGGGTTGCAGCTGATAATGCTTTGAGCCCTGTTAGCAGTTGATCCTTCAGGGAAGGCAGGCAGTGGTGGCAGAGATGAGATTCATACAGCCAGATTTCAAGAGCAGCAGGAATCAGAAGGGCAGCACGGAGGGGGAAAGGAAAGATGTAACACTTGTGCTGTGCACAGAGCTAGGCCAGGGCACAGACTCCCTTTCAAGTGAAGTCTTGCCACTTCCCACTTTTGTTCCCAATGCATCTTCTCCCACGCATGCACCTCGGAAAAGGACTGATGATAGGACTTGAAGATCCCAGAGGCTACTGTAAGCCTGAATGTGATCAATGTGAAAATACCAAGTGGCATTAACCGTATCAGAGATGAAACCTCGTTTAGCTTCTGTCAACCTAAAAAGTAATTAATGCATTAATTAAAATTTAACATTTAAAGGCGCTAGAGGCAAAGTTCTCGTGCAAACTCCTTCACTCCCATTATTGCCAATTAAACATTCCCTATCTGTGATCTGGAAGCCAAGAATTCCTCTTAGTGGCACCACATAGGGAAAGGAAGCAAATGATAACATATGCTGAAAGACATTTTAATGCACAAGTTCCAGAAGCTTAACTCCTTATTGTAATAAGAAGCATTTTCTTCCTTTCCATTTTTGTCATCCTTTATACCTGTTCACGTACGTGTGAAGAAAGAGAGGGAAAAATATGTCAATATTTTTGGGCCTGATTCTGATCTCACTGGGCCATTCGTGAAATGGGAAGAACTTCATAGAATAGAATCATAGAATGGTTTGAGTTGGAAGGGACTTCAAAGATCATCCAGTTCCAAACCCCCTGACACGGGCAGGAACTCCTTCCACTAGACCAGGTTTTTCAGAGCCCCATCCAGCCTGATCTTGGATCAATGTTTTGAGGCTCAAACAAGGTAACTCAAGCACCCAAGTCATCCCCATCTCCAAATCCAGTGAGACAGGCAGCCCTCTCATAGGGGGAACTAACCTAAATTTCTGTCTTGTAAGACAAGTAAAGCTTTGCATTGAGACTGGATGAGATGTATTGGCCAGATATGTCACCATCATCCTTTTGTTTGACTTTCAGAGAATTTCATTTGTAAGGTGACTGGCAGAGTTTTCCTGCAAGGATTTTTATGCTGCTCACCCCTCAGCCCTTTTCACAAGGGTAACCCTGCAAACTGTGGCCTAGAGAAACAGCAGGGGAATGTTTGATCTAAGGCTGCATCTGTTTTTTATTACATTTTTTGCAATACAGTGTGTGCTCATGTCTGATTCAGCAACTGTTTCATAGCAGCTATCTAATCTATCTTTTCTGTTTTATTTTTAACACACTAATTTCTCTGGTTTTCTGTTCAGACACTTTTGTTTAGGTGGAAAGGAAAGGCAGGCTAATAAACATGCTAATCCAGCATAGCACTCATCCCACTGTCTTTATTTCTAGATATTTGCTTTGCATTCACACTCAAACACAAAAGGTGCAGAATGGGGTTACATTATGGTAGATACTGTGCAAGTACCCAGTGGGTTCAAGGCATCTCTTGCACAGCTTAAAATGTACTGCCTCAATCCAAAATTGGTTCCACCCAAGCTGGTTCCTTCCTAGGGGCCTGGAGTTAAAAGCACAGGATGACAAACTTGCAAAAGCTTGGCTTTGCCTCAGAGTACATCCATACAACAAGGGCAGTCCCATGCAGAGATATCGACTTAGCTCTGCTGTTGCATAAATGTCCAGCAGTTTTAATATCAATAAAAGGAGGATAACAAGAGTTCCTTTCTCTCCGTCTCTGTCCAACTTTCAACTTAATTGTACTGCCTCTCTGGGTAAGACAGTTTTATATAAAGGCTCATCACATTGTGCACTGGAGCCCTGTTTCCAGGGGGAGGTTATATAGGCCTGAAATAACGGGGCTTTGGACAAAGAAGGAACGAGAGGAAGAGCAGCAAAGAAGCAAAATAAAACACTGTTTTAAAACAGGCTGTAGGAACACTAAAGGTGACCTGTTCTTAATCTTGTCAGCCAGCATTTACAGCGCTGCCTTCAAACAAGCATTGCAAGGGAAATGATCCTGAAAGGGAATTCATGCCCACAAACAATTCCCTCGAGAGACAGGTAATGCCGGGTGGTGCGAGGCCATTAATAACAGCACGTCAGATGGCTAACTGCAAATAAGTCTCTGTCATTAAAACAACGAGTTGATTGAAAACAAACAACTTGGCAATTTCAACAAAATTGCCAAGTATCTCCTGTGATACAACTGGGTTCTCTGCTAAAGCACTTGTATGACAAAAGCTGTCAGTCCGAGAAGTCTTATTTTGGCACATGTGTAACTGCATACTGTGTTACCAACATTTAAATGACAAATCGCATCGCATCTTTGCAACAGAACATTCTCGAGATATTTATAGAGGAAGAAGCTTAAAATAAGTTTGGTTTGTTTTTAATTAGATAACTCTCTCAGATTCTTTTCCCTTCTAGTGTCCTTGGATGGCAGATGTCTGCTTGGTTCAGTGTGCAAGGGGGGACAGGAGAAACAGCGCAAGCTGCATCATTTTTGAAATAAACAAGTTTCTGATTGGACTTGAGCTCGTTCAGGAGAGGCAGCTGCAGACAGAAACCCGTGTCTTAAAGCCAGAGGATGACACAAACTGCTCCGTGTCCTCAATAGAAGAAGATTTTCTCACGGCATCAGAGCACCTCGAGGATGACAACGAGGCTGATGAATACAAAGCTGGTAAAAGCAGTGGGACTGAGCATAATTCTGCTATTGTTGGTATTGCAAAACTGCTATGGCAATGTTGACAGAAATTGCACTTGATTTTGATTCATGCATATGTAATTCAGAAAATGGACAGCCATTCCTATTTCTAAATTGCTGTTCAGAGACAAGGATACATGGCTGTGCAGTAGCTTTACAGAGCAGTGATGTGGTACACAGTTGTGCAGCTGTTTTCTTTTTAAAGCCACTGAGTACTCTGAGAAAAACTGATTATCTATTATTCTTAATAGGTCATGAAAAAGTAAATGTTCCAGAAGCATCTTCAGATGTCAAAAAAAATAAAGGAAAGGGATTTGAAAATATTCACTACAGAAAAGCCAGGTTGCCATTCATCCTTGAAGGGAATTGCATGAATAAAGATAATGGAGCTACTCAGGTCTCTGAAGCTGTGAATGTTGTGGCTGAAGATGGCCTCTTACAACCTGAAGATAAGTCAGACCAGGAAGTACTGTGGCAGAAGGAATTAGCTGAAAAAGCTACTTCATCATTTAGTACTACTAATTTGACTGGTGAGGTTGAAAGTTCTTGCCCAGCCCTCATGTTAGAAGATGTATCTTTGACCAAAATGGCTAAAGAGGAGCCGGAGCCTGTGCGTGACCCAACAACAAAACACAACAGTGAGACAGATGGGGAAGACTCTGCAGGTATCAGGAAGACTGATCCTCCCTCACAAAATGAGCAGGGGACCACGGGTCAGTACGCCACAAATTTGGCAGAATCTGTTCTGCAGGATGCATTCATTAGACTGTCACAGTCTCGACCCAGTTTCAGCGAGGAGGCTGCAGTCAGCATCTCCGTAGGAAGCTCCTGTAAGTCAGAAGATGTATCTGCTTCCCGGTCATGGAACGAACTTCCAAAGATTGTCATAGTGCAGAGTCCAGACAGTTCTGAGAACATTCCTGACTGGCCAGGGTCTGCCTTCCCCAGCCTGTGCCACTGGACCGAGTCAGAAAGCTCTGCTGAAGTTTCGGATTACTTGGAGGAAGAACACGCGAACGGACACGACCAAAGTGCGCTGGAAGTGGCTCTGGCTTGTGCAGCCACTGTCATTGGAACCATTTCCAGTCCCCAGGCTGCGGAAAAATTCAGGCGGGACCAAGAAGTCGCAGACTGCAGGAGCAGAGCGGTTGTAGATGAAGAGGTGCACGCAGCACCTTCACAGCTACCTGATGACTCTGCTGACGCAGAATATTCCTTTCCATCTGCGCTGTGTGGCATGACTCAAGTAGCAAGCGCTGTGGCCATCTGTGGTCTGGGAGAAACGAAGGAGGAGAAGTACCCTGTGACCTCAAGTGGACTTCTGTCTGCTGCTCAGGCCTCTGCAGCCATTACTCTGCACTGCAGCATAGCTATAGGAAGCAGCATGGACAAGCTAAATGAGAGCATTGCAGAGGCGCTTCTCAAAGAGGCGTCCGTCATTTTGACCAAACCCAACACGTACAAAAATGTAGGGCATTTTATGGAATCCATAAATGGGAAAATTATTGAAACAGCGACGAGGCCGCGTGTTCCGCGCGCTGATGAGGTAATCAGGGATGAACTCGCGCAAAACTTGTCCAATATTATCCTACGGCATTCTATGGAAGAGGTCAGGAAGAAGAGGCAGCTGCATCCCCGTTCAGAAAACAGCTCAAGTACACAAGACATTTTCACAGAGACGGCAAACGAGTTGCTTTTTAATATAATATATTTCACTTGCAAGAAGATGAGCGACATAAGGCAGGTGGAAGAGTGTTCCCCTCTCTTTTCCGAGGGCAGAAAAGCGGAGAAGGTAACGAGAGCAGAAGGATGGTCAACACCAGCAACAGCACGTGAAACTTCCCACAGCCCCCTTGATCACTCTGCTGCTAAGCCATTGGGTACATCCTACAGCACCAGTACTAGCAAAGATCTTGGAAGTGTCACAACCACTTGGAAAAGTAATATGAAAGACGTAAATAGCAATGAAGGGGCCACGCTGAGCTCAGAACCAAGTGGAGATACGGAGGATAACACACCTGATGGAAAAACATCTCCCAAGAAGAGATACCTGAAAAGAACTGCACGAGACTGTTACAAGTCGCCAAATCGGAGCAACAGTCAGCATCAGAGGAAAGATTACAGATCATTTTCGGACAGAGAAAATACCTTTGCAAGCAACGAATGCAGACACGGTGTTCAAGAACAGCTGTCTTCCAGTGCCACCACGAATGCAGAAAACCAAGCCAAGCATAAGTGTGATTCTGTGCTGAATAATGATGTCCAGCTTAGCTTGTCTTTATTAGGAAACCATGTCTTGCTTCCTTCTCAGCCTGTGCTACAGGTGAAAAATTCAAGAGACAAATATTGCATAGCAGATTTTGCAGAAGAATTGGCAGAAACAGTTGTCTCTATGGCAACAGAAATAGCTGCCATTTGTCTAGAGAATTCAAATGGAAAGCAACCCTGGTTCTGTGCATGGAAGAGAGGCAATGAATATCTAGTGACCCAGAGTTTGTCATGCAGAACCATGAAAAGGAAAAAGGAAAGCCACACTAATGGTTCGGTGGTTCGGAAGCACAGGGCGCCTCGACTAAGTGAGATCAAAAGAAAAACAGATGAGCATCCTGAGCTAAAGGAAAAACTGATGAATCGGGTAGTAGATGAATCTATAAACCTTGAGGACACACCTGATTCAGTCAACATCTTTGCAAATGAAGTGGCTGCCAAGATCATGAACCTCACCGAACTCTCCATGGTTGACAGCATCTGGCAAGGTCCAAACCACCCCAGGAACAGACTGCACTGTGAAAGATGGAGCCGAGCCAAGGCCTCAAGCTGTGAGAGCATTCCAGAGGAGGACTCAGATTCCAAAGCCTCTTTCCATACCTTAGGCCTCATGAACAGCTTTGGTCAGTCTTTGAGCCAGACAAGTTCTGTCTCAAAGCAGTCTAGCTGTGAAAGCATTACAGATGAATTTTCCAGATTTATGGTGAACCAGATGGAAAACGAAGGGAGAGGCTTTGATTTGCTACTGGATTACTACGCGGGAAAAAATGCCAACAATATCTTGACTTCTGCTTTGCAACAGGTAGCCAAGAAAAATGGCCATCTGAACGTACGACCGAGCTGCCCGTCCAAACAGTCCAGCACGGAGAGTATAACAGAAGAATTTTACAGGTACATGCTCAGAGAAATCGAAAGGGAAAACAAAGATAACCTGTCCTCCCCTCGGAATTCAAAGGACTGGTGTGACAGTTTGCTACCACCCTCTCTACGGTCACCTTTTTGCTTCAGGCAGTCGTCGATGCCTGACAGCAGATCGTCAGGCTCCAGGCTTACGGTTAACGTCCCAGTCAAGGCGAATTCCTTAGATGGATTTGCCCACCATCGCCAGGACTCCTTAAGCGTGCAGCCAGCCAGTACTGTGGCCTCTTCAGGCCTTTGCAAGTCTGACTCGTGCCTGTACCAAAGATGCAAGACCGACCAGATAACAGACATGTTGATTCACGAGACGTGGGCGAGCTCCATCGAATCTCTGATGCGGAAGAACAAAATCATAGCAGATGAGGCAGAGGCTGCAGAGGCAGAGCAGTTCTACAGCGATTCCCCGCCGCACGTGGAACAATACGCAAAAAGACTGGCTGCAAATATTGTTGAAAGCGGTAAGAGTTTAATTGTTGTCCAGCAGGATTCCTGCGACTACACCAGCCGAGAGCAGGGGCCGGAAAGCAAACACCCCCAAAGCACAGCTCAGATACAGTCAAAACCCAAAACGGATGAAGTGAGTTTGGATGAGAAAAAAGAGCAGGTGAAGAGCCCTGGGAGCCTCCCTGCAGGCCAGCACAGGGAAGTGCCTTTAATTCAGATAGAAACGGATCAACGGGATGAGCCACACAAAGACTCAGAGTCCTTAACTTCCCGTGGCCCCTCCGGAAAGGAGCATCGAAGCAAAGAAAAGCCTCCAGAAGCTCTGGATGGAAAACACACCGTTTCCAGTTCCCCAGCAAACAGGTGAGTGACAAAGCAGCAAATCAGCATATTGCTTTGGTGGTTTATTTTCCCAGAAAAAGTTATTTTGATAAAGGATAAGAATATAACTTCTAAAGAAACAAACAGTTTAAGTTGTGACTACAGGTTTCTGATGGCATGAAATCAGCCAGTCGAGTATGAGAGTGCTGATTTCTGGAGCAAACTTCAATATGACAACATTATGGTTCTAACATTCAAACTTACTAAGAAATAAGTTTTCTCTCTACAGATATTTAAGTCTCCTATAGTCAAGACAAGAAAAATTGGCAAAGCTTAAACTTTCATGTAGCGCTGGCTGATATCTCAATTTAAAAAAATAAATAAATAAAAATCAGTGTTAGTGTATGACAGAGGGTAGCAGAATTTGTAGTTCTCTGCTATGCTTGTTTGTGTAACTAACGCTTTGTGTACCTGAAAACAAGACCAAACTTCTGAGAGTTGGAAGTTCAAATTTGTGTTTACAGTCTGAGCTACAAGTAAGAAAAATTCTTTATTGAAGGAAATAAAATATTAAAAGTACCCCTCACCTCCTTTAGGTTCAAGACTTCTCTGGTAGAATTTAAATAGAGAAAAAAAAAAACATTACATTTTATTTTAATGCCATTTCATGACGTTTACACCACAGCTTACCACCCTCTCCTTACAGCTGTACTCCTTTTCTGAAGAAATCTGTAGCTTGCTTTGACTGTGGCAAAGTGTGAGCCCAGTCTGAGAGTGCAGTGCAAATGTAAAGGATTGCTGTGGGTGCTCTGAGGTTAAGAGCAATGCTCTCTCCCAAGGCATTGCCTATTTTTAACTCTACTTCTTCATTGTCTCTGTTACTTTAATGGTATCTAAACTGCCAGTTCCTTGGAGCACTGCAGCACCCCCTTATCTCAGAGTGGTAGGGAAGGTGCAGGTGCTGCTAGTGTTAGAAACCATTCTGTAGCTCATTTTATTCCAGGCAGCGCTCTGTTTTGGCATTTGACAAAGCTCTGCTTGAAGTGAGAAAGCACATATATTATATCTACTTGCCTGTGTATGTTAACAATTAGATGGATAATTATCATAGTGTCACTAGTCTTTCATACTGATTCTCCCCCACTAACCTTCCTCTTCCTTAACATGCAGCCTGCTTTTAGTAAGATATATTTAGAAATCCCCCTATTTGGAATCTTGACTGTGAAAATGAAGTTATTTTGGCAGTTTATGACCCCTTTCATAACAACTTTTCTTCTGCCTTTGATGCAGAGTTCCCCAAGTGGCTATGGGGTGTTTAAAGCAATAGGATTGGTAGGGCTGAATAATCAGAGGCTACACCACATGAGCATTCTGGCTCAGCAATGCAGTGCAGTTCTGAATCAATTCATTCCCTTTCCATACATCAGCTTTCTTTGCAACATGCAATGCGGATTTCTTTTAGAGGAATCTCAAATAGAAGCTGCCCGAGTGTGTTCCAGATGTGCTCGTACCCCTGCTGGAAAGGCAAAGCTCTCTGTGGTTCTTCACACAGATCTGAACCATTTGTGGCATAGCTGGCTGGACCAAGTCTATCTAGGCTGAAGTGAAAACCTAAAAATATATAATGTAGCTATAAAAGCATTAGCAGCAATTGCTTTGATCCACTCCTACTGCATGAAACTACTTGCTAGTTCAGATACAGGCACAGAGGACTCCAGGCAAAATATCAAGCAGACATACAGTCAATTAGGAATAAAAAAAGAAAAAAAAGCTGTGCAGGCTTGGGGAAGAGGTCTTCAGCAACGAAAAGGAGCTGTTTCTGGTATGTAGGCAGTGCAACAGACCCAGTCCTGTCACACAGAAACTGTTCCAAGTGACTGTTCACAAGTGGGGAACTGTCAGTTCAAAGCATTGCTACTCTGAGATGTAATTGCATAATGAATCAAACAAAACCCAAAATGCCAAGAAGCATCACCCACAGAAACCTCTTGTGTTTTGGACCAGGCACCAGGAGCTACCTGCCCTGTATTAAAAATCTGAATAACACCACTCCCCTGCAACCTGGCTGCTCAGAGCCCCCGTGTTAGTGCAGATCTGAGCTCTGCCCCTGAGGGGTCAGGGATGACAGGCACAGTCACTTGGCAGATGCTCCCTGCCTGCTAGAGCAGAGCCCTTGGGCAAACAACTCCCATTCTCCCTGCACAGCCTGCCTCTCTCTCTGTCACCCAGCATTAATGCAACAACTTCTGAGAGCAAGAGCTTGGCAAAGGGAGACATCCACAATGATATTGTCTCAGGATATTCTTAATCAAGGTGATGACTCAGGAGCAATAGTGTTCCTGGTGCAATCTCTTGCACTAACTGAAGACCAGTGCCTCAGTCATAACTTAGGTACAGGTCTGAAAGCAAGAACTTCTCTAGAGAGATCCTGCAGAGAGCTGGCAGTTCACATTGCACTGCTGTAATCACTAAGTTGCAAATGCAGACCATCCAGTGAATAGAACAAAACTACAGTTTTGCTTTCATTAATATTCTGGTGCTGCAATGGTATCATTGTTGTGGGGATTGATTATATTTACTTTTCTCTCTGTGCATCAAAAGACCAGTTTAGCTCTGAAAAGTTACCATAAATACAATTTTTATTTTTCCTCTCTGTGTATGTTTGTGTGAGTATGTGTACAAACATATGACACACACAATTATATAAATACCTGTGTGCATATGACATTTGTCAAGTGTTCAGAATTAGAAAGCATTTTTCCCTTAACCCTTGTACTTTCTGAACTCAGACTGGGTTCCATACTCAGCCTGGTTTCTGACTACCTGCTGGAATATATTGTCCTTCCCCAACCTGAGCAGCAAAGATCCAAGGGCACAGAAGGCTGAGAGTCATTAGTCTTTTGCAACCCACAATACTTTCCTACTTTTACTTCTAGGCCTCTTCAAGATCTACAATGCTAAGAGAGTAGAAGACCCCCACAAGAAACTTATTCACCCATTTGTAGGAGAGGGATTTAGTGCCAGTGTATATTTCCAAGAAATGCTGTCATTCTGCACTAACATATATCATATATTTCAACCACTGAAGTGCATTAAACAACAGACCCTCACAGTGATCAGTTCTCTCCATGCAGGTAAAATCCTTTTGTACAAGTTAAACCATTTCTATGCACATTTCAGTGCAATGTTTACTTTGGTTTGTGTTTATTTGTAGCAGTCATAAGAAAATCCTTTTTTAAGAGCATCCCAGACCACATCTTCTATTGGACTGTACGGATAAATTATAAGCTTGTCCAGTCTTTTGCATCTATAGAATTCTGCAGCTGGGTTGACTTTAATGAGCAGCATTGCCTGAAGGTTGGTGCCATCAGTCTGTTTGCCTGTACTATAATATCAACATGCCTTCCTTATCACCCTGCCAGCAACAGCCCTCAGAGCAGATCGGATGCTGAAATCATAGGAGAGACAAAAACAGCTGAAGAATTCCCAAACCATCTCAGCAGCAGTGAAGAAAGCACTGGCAGCTGGTCCCAGCTAGCTAATGATGAGGACAACCCTGACGACACAAGCAGCTACCTGCAACTGAGCGAGCGATCCATGAGGTACCCGTGTTGTCTGTTCTCACTCTACAATATGGTCTATCAACCCAGCCAGTGATTTCCCTGCCATGCATCAGGAGTGAGAGGGCAACAGCTCGAGACTGACTCAGAATACTGTAAACAAAGCCTAATGGTGCACTTTATCTCCTTGTTTTTTAATAAGGGGGAAAAATCATCCACCTTTGGGTTGTCAGCCAGGTCTTTTTATTACTGGTGAGCAGCTAGATTCAGGCAAAGGAAACACTTCCTGGCACCACTGAAGTGCCTCAGTCCTACAGCAAAAAGGCCATCAGACAAACTAATTGCTGCAGTCTTTCTTTTGATTTATTTGCTACTCTTTGCATAATGTTTGTTTTGACATCTCCTTAGCCAAGGTTGAGGAGACTGCTATTCCCACCAGGAGAGCAGAGACTGAGCCCTGATCTGCTTAGACTTAGTGCAGATTAACAGAGGATGACCAATGCTCCCTTGAGTAGACATAAATTCCAGAGCTCCCATAGCCATGTGCTGCTTTTTGTACCTATTCAAGTCAGGACATGTGTTTAAAAATGTTATCTAGTCCTTGGAGTTTATATAAAGTGGTGGTAGTTTGACTTCAGCCCTTTCACGACATGAAATTGAGCAAGGTTTTTTTCTTCATATGCTCTTAGACTAGGTTTTAAAATATTGTCAAGTAATTACAACTTTCTCTTGAGTATTAACATGACAAGGAGGTAAGACATTATGGTAATGAAGCAGGGAAAAGAAAGAGTCTCTGTCAGAAAGCACTGTTGGCCAGCTAAAAGGAACTGAAGAAAACATGTCTGTCAGTTGAACATTCATCCTGTTATTATTGTATCAACCTTTAACAAAAGTCCTGGGTCTGAGGGAGCTGGAGTATTGTGCCTTTCAGCTCTGCATTGAAACAGAAATTGCTCCAGCAAGTCTGAATACATGGCATGCTGGCACTGACTGAGAACAGCCTGATGGGGAAAGGAACTGTCTAATCAATCCTTCTAACGGAAGGGAAAATAATATTAGTTGCTCTTCCAGTAAAAATTAAGTGGTTCAACATGAGTTTCCACACAGAATTTGTTCCTGGTAATTGACTTGCAGGCAGCAAATTCACAACCTGCTCATGACACTATTACAATATCTGCATAAACATTCACTGTCACATTTATAATGATGCTCTAAAGTGAACTGGTACTATTTTTTCCAAATAGTCTCAGATGCACTGCTTTATGCTTGTGAAGAAGCATAAAGAGAATACTTCTCTGTATTTCTGGTCCCAGAGAGCACGGGCTTGAATTAAAATCTCAGTCTTTCAGAGTAGTCAGAAACACGAGGGGCCATCTCTGTACCCGTGGGTTCCATCAGATCCCCCACAGTATTTGGGGTCTGATGTAATACACTGAAACCACTGCTGGTTACAGGCATGGAGTCACCCAACAGGTAAGTGGCATGATGGGCAGCCAAAGTCTCACTATAACTCCCCATGTTCAGAGATATCTCAACCTCTGCAGGTTTCTTCCAGGGCATCTCTGTACCTGCTAAACTTCTTTTCGTGGACTCAAGCAGACGGGTTTTTCATTTGAGGCCAAATGTTCATTGCATAAGGCATGCACAAGAGGAGAGTCCCCTTCTTTTCATCATGCAGTCTGCAGCATCATTTGATGCATTGATGCACTCGATACATGCTCCATCTAGAACTATTTTAATAAAAGCCTCATTATTTTGAGCAGACTAATGTGCCTCATTCTGGGAGCCACTTGCTGAGCACAATTGATTTTGTGGAACTCTGCATAACAGGAGGCAGCCTCCTGACTTTGCTTTGTACATAAATAAACTTTTAAAAGATGTATGGAGACATGTTCAGCGCAGCTTGGCACTAATATTTAAACTTTTGCTTTGTCAGCAATGGCAACAGCAGTACAACTAGCAGTCTTGGCATTATGGACCTGGAAATTTATCAGGAGAACGTGCCATCTTCTCCTATGATTAAGTAAGTAGTCACTGAAGTGAGACTTGATGTTTAGTCCAGTTTTAACTGCAAGTTGTTTATGCCACCTAAAACGTGCCAAGCCCTGCTTTGCACCTGCTGCTGTGCCTGCTCATAATTTCAGAAAAAAGCACATGCAGGTGTCTGTGGAGAGTGAGAGCACTAGACAGTGAAAGATTACAGGAAAACCCACTCAGGTGGATCTCCCAAGAGATACTGGTCCATCAACCATTCTGTCTAAAAGACAGTTTTCTGCTGTATCAGTTTCCTGTTGTGTGAACCTTCTTCTCTGAATAACTTCAAACATTACCAAAATTCCACTGTTATAGCAAGTAAGGTCAGGCAAATAAGGATCCATTAAAGACAAAGAAAAATATAATTGCATTCTTTCCAATAATAATAATAATATTTTGGCCCACGGTACATCTTGCCTATTGTTTCCAGGCATGTTTCTACTGAACATGCAATTAAATTATCAAGAGATGTGCAAATACCTGCCTGAAGATCCTGGTACAACCTGCCAGCTGGTGACTGTCATGATGCAGCCAGGGCACAGCCACTGAAGAAGTGCTTAGACTGTAAATCACACACTGAATGTTGGAACTCTGTGAGGGCAGTGACATCAGAAAATTGTCACTGCTCGTTATCAGACTGTGCTACAACTGCCCTGCTTTCAAGAGGTTCTTTTTTTTGTAAGAAATCAGGGCATTCACGTCTCTGTAGAGTTCCATGTGTTCTCTTTCAGCTGCTGATTCCGTGACTAATGTTAAAACATTCCCATCCCCACATCAGCAGTGATACCTCCTACACGTGTTCCTAAACGTGTCCCTTCTCCCTTATATTTCCAAGGACCAGAGGGATAAATTTCTAACTCTCCTTGTTAGCTTCCAGGGGCCATTCAGGTCTTAGCCAATAGGCATGAGAAGTTTCTACTACCACAAATAAAAGTCATTTGCTGTTCAAAAGAAAAACTGGAAAAAACCCCTAATGATAAGGAAGTTATTAAACACCTATGATTGTAACCCAAGATAAACTATAGGTTGCATGCTGCCATTTTATTCTTTCCCATTTTTCAGTAACCACTACACAATCCTCCCGTGCTAGGAACAAAATCTTACACTTGCAGCATTCCCCCTGATTGAGAGCAAAATGGAATGGGGCAGCCTGGAAATGTGTGCTGAAAGTGCAATCCCTCCAGGAGCGATGAAACCAATGGAATAGCTGCGATATCAGCAGTGAATTTACAGTCTCCTGACACATGTACAAGAGCTCAGATATTGTGCTCAGAGATGGAAGCTAAAGCAGTGACCGCTTGCCTGTAGTTCAAGGAAATGGTACATAAGAAATTATGAATCTTTGGAAAATTTTGCAAGGTGTAAACAGAATTCATTTATCCAAACAGCAACTACACTTAAAACCAGCAGTAGTAGGAGTCATTGATAGCTATGACTGTATTTAATTATGAGAGATAAAATTAGAAAGCAAGACCGGAAAAGATTCAGCCAGGGAGTACAACACTGCAAAATGCAGATATTGGAAATTCAGCATTTCCAGCCAGGTTATGAGACTTGCTGTGTGTTACCATAATGTCATTTGCTTGTCATTCTGTAAACTGTAAACATACACAGAGCCTGGTGAAACATAATACATGACACAAACAATTCAAGTACTTCATCCTGCTACAGGAATAATGCTGCAATTCCCACAGCTTTTCCTGATTTACAGATTAAATAAATTAAATATAGTCGGCATTTGATTATTTCATCCTGTGTAACTTTTTTCTTGCAGTTTTCTAGGTCTTAACATTGAGAGAGAAGTTTATTCATCGTGAAGCGATGTTGTAGGCTGTTCCTAAGTGTGACTAATAAGCTTTGTTGTTGTTTGTTTCTAAGTGAATTAGTAGAAGAAAAGGTTTTCCTTAAAGAACAGACAGAAAATACGGACGGTAAGTTAAACCGTATCAATTAAAGCACACAGCTTGAAGTTAACACAAGTGATTGCACAGTAACTGTTGGGCTTATTTTTCCAGAAAGTACTTCTGAGCTTTCAGTGGGAACAGCCAACTGCCAAAAGGACCTGTTGGTGATAAACTTTGATCTGGAACCAGAGTGCCCCGATGTGGAGCTGCGAGCCACCCTGCAGTGGATAGCTGCTTCTGAGCTGGGAATCCCAACCATCTATTTTAAGAAATCTCAGGAAAACAGAATCGAAAAGGTATATTTATGGAATTAGCTAATTAATCACTGTAGCAGTTATGATTTATTGAAGTAATTGAGCTTAAAAGCAGGTTGCAAAAACATCTTCGCTACAGCGAGATGGCAATGCTACTGTTTATCAGAGAAAGTGATGAGAGCAGAAGTGTGTCAGAATTTAAGGGATGGGAAATATTTAGCAGACTGTCCAGGGCATAAGAAACAGCATCACCATGAGACCTTCTGCAAAGTCTCTGTAACATGCTTTGATGAAGCTGCTCACTTTTTCATATCAATGATATGATATATATTAAGTACCAGTGCCCAAGGCAGAATTGACAGAGTCCTTTATGTGGCTACATTTGAAGGGCTTCAGATGGTTTCAGGAAAGACCAAGAGACCCATTTCCAAGGTCAGCAAGAACAGCTCGAGCTTTAAGGTCTAAAAATATGTCACAGTATTCAAGGCAATTAATGAAAAAAGTAGTACAAAATCAGTATTTTGGTCTCTTAGGGGAAGATCATTTTGAGTAGCAGAGATATTGTTTGGTTTTCTTGAGTACATGCATTTGGGAATCATAAACATAATTTAAAATGCATTCAACAGCAACAGTCCAAATTGCATCTAATTAAAGAAACAGCTGTCAGCTTTACCCATGTGCTTTGGCAAACAGTTAATTCAATTGCAAAAATACACTAGAGAATAATGAAGCACATCCTGCCTACAACAGCGTTCTTGGAAATCACGTGCCTATTAAATATCATTAAAATACATATTAAAAGTTTAGGCTTCAGTATGTAAATAGCAAACAGCTACACTAACTAGACACACACAGTGTTTTCTTGTGTGGTTGAAGAGTGGAAACATAGAAGGGAAAGCTAATTGGATATTGTGAAATTCAAAGAAATAAAAAGCTTTGATTTTAATTTATGTGCTTCACAAAAAAAAAAAAAAAGGGACCAGATGGATGACACTGTGAAGCCTGTTATTAAATACAAAGTGGACAAAATTCAGGATTTTTTTTTACAGCTGCTTAAGAACATATATTTAACCTCTGGTTTCTCTGGAAATTAAAAAAAAACCCCACCAAATACAGATATTCTCTGCACATCAGCTACAACTATGGCCAATGTCTTCATGTGACAAAGTTTTACACAGAATTCTCTATCACCAGTACTATGTGAATATTTAAAATACTATGGAATGTAGATGTAGAAATACAGAAAATTAAATATAAATTAAAATATAGCTAATGGTAATGAAGAAAGATTTTTTTTCCTTTAAGATGGATAATCACCCTTCCATTATTTTGACAGTGAGTTGTTGATAACGAGGAAAACAGTGATCCTTTATCAAACTCACTTTCCCTGTTCTTACTTTCCTTGCAGTAAATAGGAAATAACTGATGGAAGCAGCTAATTTAGAAAATGTCATGAGATCCAATCAGTCCTTGGGGAGTTATGGAACTTCACAAATGCAGTTTTATAAACAGAAAGAACCTTTATGTTGCCGTGAAGTGAATGGTGTCCACTCTCTCCCCAGAGCAGTGCCCTTACAAAGGACTAACGGCAGGTTGTGTGTACACATTAAACAAAACCCCAGAAAACGTTAACCAAACCCTAAGTGTGTTTCATCTTGGTTGTTTTTTCGTTTAGTTTTTGGATGTTGTGCAGCTGGTTCAGCGCAAGTCGTGGAAGGTGGGGGATATTTTCCACGCCGTGGTGCAGTACTGCAAGCTCAGCGAGGAGGGCAGGGAGGTGACACCGAGCCTGTTCGACTGGCTCCTAGAGCTGGGTTAAGAAAGTTCGCCCGTCCAGCATTTCTGTTTTATTCCAGTTTAAACAAGCAGTGGTTTGTGTAACGCTCTGATTTCTGAACATCACCGAGTCAAACGTGCAAAGACACACCAACTCTACAAACACAGCACTGTTCCACGACTGACCAAGGAGCAAAGTGAAGCCAAGCTGTTGTTGCGTCTTTCTGTGTCGTGAGGGACTCCTGGCATTGTGCTATGGGATGTACTGTACTAGGAGGGGATGGATTTTTAGCCTTCTGGATTAATGGACTACACAGTAAAGGCTTAATTACCTAATACGTTCAATTTTCATCAAATCGATTAAATCAATCAGCTAAAAATGTACACTAATGTTCAGTTTTGAAACAACACTGATATTTGTACAGTTTAACTATCAGAACCAGAGTGTGTTTCAGGATGCCTGGAAACACCCTTGTCTCTAGATAACTGATATTTATGTTGGTTTGGGGTTTTTTTTAAATCCCCATAGTCTGCTAGGGGACAAACGCTTTTGAACACCTAACACCTTTGCAGTTAGATAACACAGTAAAAAGCTGCTGAAAACACATTTTAGTTTGTTTGTTGGGTTTTTTTCCACGTGATTGTTTCTCTTCCATAGCTATTCCTGATTCCTGTAATCTTCCCAAAGAAACAAAGTCGAGTCTCTCAGTTGCTATCCTTAAAAAAATCTCATCCCTTTTCCCTGGAAGCAGTGCAGTTATGCCAGGGCAGCGGGGGTACAAGCCCTGTCCTGCCACAGATCTGCTGCGTGACCGTGGGCGACTCATTTCACCTCTGTGCCTCAGTGTCCCTGCCTGGTAAAGGGCAATAACGACAGTACAGCTGTTACCTACAGTGCTTCTGTTTAAAGCACTGTGTAACATTCTACATATCAGCTAAAAGCAGTGAAAAAAAAATACTGTTTTGATTTTAGTGTAATCAAATACGTTGTTGATGAGGTGAAGAAATGCACATCTGAGGAGAGTAACCATCTCACCCTAGAAATCTTAATGTTAAATTTTTTTTTTTTTTGTAACTTACAAGAAAGCAGAATGTTTGTAAAAATTTCAGCAGACATGCGTGTTCATTTTGGATATAAGTGTTTGGACTACATGTGATAGTTCACGTTACTATGACATTTATATAACTGTTTGATAAGATGTACTATGGTATTGTCTTGTTGAGATGATCTGTTGGTACCATGCACTTGATACATTCTCTCGACTCTGCCAAAGAGGTTGGTTTTGAATTTAAAGGTAAAAATAACTTATGACACCACAGCTCTTCTGCAGTTTGTTTCTTTGAAAATACTCATCTTTCATCCCTCCTACCCAAACAGCATAATAGAATACCTGCCTGCTTTTCCCCAAAAAATATATTTAAGAGAAGTTTTATTTTCCGTATAACAGTATATGCTTCTGTAATATTTCCTGAGAAAGAAAACCTATCCTTTTGCACTAAATATTTTTGAAAAGTTTGAAGTAGTTTTAAATAATTTATGAAAAAGAGCCATATTCTCGATTTTATCTTTAAAACCATTCCAAAACTTGCATGACTTGCATCACTTCTTTGTTACAAAATACAAATTGTTGGTGAACCAAAATCTGATGTGGAGCATTAAACAACATGAGTGATTCTCCATCTACTCTGCAGCATAAACAGAACAGTGGAGGTTGCTTTACTGTCTGTAAAGGTCAGCTTATTGCAAACACTGAACACAACTGTGCAGTCACTGGACCAGCTCCCAGGAATTGCTGAACATCCATAACTCCCACTAAACGTGAGTGGCAACTCTGAATGCTCAGCACTTCTGAGGCTGAGAGCGAATAAAAAGCACCGAGAATTATAAAGTGCTTTGTTTGAGTCAGTAAATGGGAAAATGTATTTATTTTTAAACCAAATACAGTTAGTTGTCAGTAAAATTTTTTGCTGTGATAGAATAAATGTTTACTTATCCTACAAAGCACAAATATCATGACAGTTGTAACAGTGTGATGCAGTTTCTCTGTACAGTAGTTCTTAATGTTGCAATTTATTCAGAAATAAATTTATGTTATAATGTGCGTCCTCTTTGCCTTCCTAGAAAGTTCATGAATGGGCTTTTCAGTTGGGTTCATGGATGGATTTTTTTTTTTTTTACCTTTTAAATAATGTTTGCTTCTGCTGACTGGAGCTTCTCAAAGCTCTGCTTCTGAAGGAATGATGTGACCCATGGCCCTGACCAAAACAAATTAGAGTAAGGGCCAGGTCTTACCTCAGTACCAAAGCTACATCATTACCCAGGTTCCACAGTTAATACAAGAGATAAAAGGCTAATCATTGCATTCTTAGTATCACGGTAAAATAAAGAGAAATGACACGTTAACTGCTGAGAATTAAGTCCAGAATAACTCCCAATGTAAAAATCTCTATCAGTGCTCACTCTGGCTGCTTTCAGTACCTGCAAAAGTGGGCAGGGTGGGGAGACAGAAGCCCAGGAGTTTCCTCTACTTGTGTAAGTTTGCAGAGGTATTTCCTGCCCTATTGGTGAGATGCAAGGGTATTTCTACTGCTGAACAGAAAAGGAAACCACCACTTAGCTGAGTTAATCAGATCTGAACTTGTCCACCATTCATTTCTTCATCCTTTTTTTAAAAGTGAACTACTTTTTTAAAAGTTAACTACACATAAATGAGAACAGCATACTACACACAATCTTAGCTAAAAACCTCTCTGTATTCATGAGCAGGGAGGAGATGGTTGGGATCACGAGGGGGTGGTTGTTCGCTATCCCAATAAAAACTAAAGACATGAAAAATGAAATTTATATGAGCCAGATTCAAGGCAAACCAAAAGAGACGACAGGTTATCAGATGAGAGGATGTCAGACTTGTACACAGGATCAAGTGGGAGCTGGAGAAGTACTTGAAAGAAACGTCTCAGGAGATGCCCTGGCCGTGGGAGTAGCAGATACAGCTGCAGGGCTGCCCTTCCCAAGGGTGGCTTCCACCCCAGGTTTGACTTTACCACCCACATAATTGAGAGAAGAATTTGGCTGGTAGATCTGCTTATTTTTCAAAAGGTAATTCTACTGTGTTTGAACTAAGTATTTAAAAACGTCAGTTTTGTTTTGTTTAGGGTTCTTTTAATGTTGACATTAGTAGAATACCTCAGTATTGTCATACCTCGGAAGGTTTTCAAGGTGTCTTCAAGTAAATGAACTCTTTTCTCCTGATCTGTGATAAATACAGTAACCTGTTAAATTCAGCAGGTACCTTTTCTGAGGAGGCCAGTTTTACTGTTTCTCTCACCCTGTTTCAGGCAGAGCTGTTGTGTCAGACAAGTATGGGAATGTCACTGAGAATCCTGAAGTCTAAACTTTAAAATGCCAGGGGGGAAAAGAGCACCACTCCACTGAAATAAAGAACCTACATGACCTACTTAGAATAAAACAAGTTCCAGCTGAGAAGGAAAACACATGCATACTAGCCAATTTAAGAATTTTTAATTCAAGGCAGAGCCATTCCTAAGCCTTTGCCAAGTGTGAGTAAACCCATAATGCCTCTCTTTCAGTTGTTCAAACTCTGAACCCAGTCATTGCAAGGAACAGGCCCTCAGAAGGCAACTTGCAGCTGTGCAGCATTTAGCAGGACAGACAGTTATCAAACTAATTATCAAAATAGACAGCCAGACTAATTAAAAGAATTTGCAATGAAGTCAGGTCTGGCTGATGGATACTGCACCCTCCTCCCAGCTTCAGCTGAGAATTAGGCAGTAAAGTGCAGCAAACTGGAAAATAGAAGCAAGCAAGATATGTCTCAGATCCTTTCACTGACTACCCAGGAAATGCAAGTGATCCCACAGAAGGAGACAAAAAAGGAAATTCTCACAAAGTGCCACTTTCAGAACATGAGTGGGTGTGACTATTATTATCCTCAGCTATTCAGAAAGAGAACCCTGAGATACAAAGAAAACACGTCACAAGTCCAAGTACACATGGTGTGTGCTCACACAAAATCCTCATCCTTGGAAAGTGAATGTTCTGCCCTAGGGCAGTTACCTGACACAAACCTCTTTCCCAGAAAAACAAAAATTGTATATCCAGAGAGGTATACACAGAAAGGTCTAAAGGACAGGAACAATACAGAAAATACAATTTCCAGTGACAAGACTTCCTAAAGCACCCTTCAGAGGCCTCCTAAGGTAATCCCTTTCAATGAGGTCACAGTGAACCAGGTTTGTCAGCATTTCAGGATAATGTTGAAAGCCACGTCTCACTCCAACCACACAGTGATTAAAGCAGCAGCTCGAAGAATACAAGGTATATAGCAGCCAAATGTTTTTGCAAGGTTAAAAAAGCACCAGGTAACAGAGTTAGAGTGTACACATCCACTATTTTGGTTGCAGGAACTAAAGTGGAATTGGAGAAAGGGATCAAGCTGCTGGCAGATACACATTCCAGGAAGATGCATTTATGCAATGCACTCCTAATATTATTAAATCTACATATGGGTAAACCAAGGTGCAGAGAACCTGACACCAAAGCACTCATATGATGGTACTCAGAGTACTAGTGAAGCTCTTACAAGGCACCAAGCCAGCACTCCTTTCAGCAGTGTTGTGAATCACACCAGATGTGAAAATATTACACATTTGAGCAGGAAACCTGGATATTTTAACCTGAAAAGCAGTTCTACACACTCAGGAATCTAAGGAGAATCAGAAACGGAGCCCAGATGCCCTCCCAGTTCAATCCTTAGTGTATGAAACCTCAACTCCAATTTCTTATAAAAACAGGAAAAGAGTTCAAAACCAAGAGCTACTACAGATATTTGATTCACTAGCATAAGAAAAAAATCATAAAGGAAAATACAACAGAAAGTAAACCAACCTGAAGGATCAAGAAAAAACACCCATGCTTCCTAATCACAGCCCAAAGAATTTTTTTCACTTTGCAAGAGTTACATAGCACATCAAATTTCAGGTTTTAACTATGTAGTAGTATTTGTATACATTACACTGATTTTTCTCCATTTTTGTCAGCTGGAAACCCCCCATATCACAGGTACAAACTGATCTGGGGACACTGGGCAATTTCAAAGCAACACAGAATGGCACTGCCCTTCCTGCCCCTTTCAATTCCAAATTACTGAGATACACTTTTGATATCCCAAGGTTTTCTCCAAGACAACAGGAAACACCACAGGCATTACAGTAACATCTATATCAGCCACTTTTCCTACTGGGAAAGGTTTAATTTTAAATTATCTGCAGCACACTGCTTGGTTCTCCCACAACACAGCAGCACTTGAAATAACCAGGATATCTGCCAAGTGATGACAGGCACTTCTGTTCCTTCATTTACACACAAAGACATTGGCAAGAACTCAGGCAGTCACAACACATCAGCACTAGAAACGTCCTATTAAATTTAACAACACTTTGAAGTCAAGTCTATAACCACACAGAGACATAGAATATAAACAAAGTACCTCCAAGTCCACTCTCTGCTGTGCACTTCCTTTCTTCTCGGAGCCAAAACACAGAGTTTGCAGACTCTTACACTCTCTGCCTCCTCTTCCAAGTCTGCTGGAAGAGACCACTCGGTTTTGCTCCTTCACCACTCCCCTACAAAGAGCACCTGCAGTTCCAGGTGCTCTGTCACGATGTGTGATGAGCTCTGCACAGGTGAAGCCCTTTGCCAATTGCTGGCACGAGGTAAGCCTGGGGAAGAGCTCATTGTGGGCTGCTAAACAACCTGCAGGAGTTTCTCGTCCGCTTTTCAGTTTATGTGATAATCCTTGGCTTCAAATCTTTGGTAGGGAGAGTTTCTTCATGCTGAACTTCATGTCTGGGCCACAATTCAAAGCTGGAGTGACTGCTGATAAAAGTTTTCTTTTATCTCAGGTCAAAATGGGAGAATGAGGGCTGAGCAGAAAGGAGTGGAATGAATGGAAAGCTGTGGGCAAGTATGAGTGGGGATTTTAACTACAGGACACCTGCAATAAGTTGATGGCAATGAGGTTCCCAAATGGTTGCTGGTTTTCTCCAGAAATATTAATGGGACATTGTATTGCAAGTAGCAAAACTGGCATTTTAACTCAGTATTTTATTACACACCAAAAAAATAATAATACAAGAGTACTCCAAGCAAGCGTACACCAACACTCCTTTCACACCTGAGAGTATTACAATGCTGTATTTCTTTTTTGTTAGAAAGGTTACAAGTTAAAATTACACATGAAGAAATGGAGCCATCCTACTGCATTCATACTAATCATGATTTCTCTCAGGTGACTGAGATAACAGACCACACTCTTCTGGTGCTCAGGGAAGAGTTAACATAGCACAAACTGAAATGCAAGAAACTATTCCATTGCTGTCTAGAGAAACTGTAGAGCCTCCATCCTTGGAGATTTCAACACCATGTCAGTCCCAGGCAGCCTGCTTGGTTGGCAGGGTGCTGAGTAGAGCAGGGGTGTTGTTCTAGAAGATCTCCAGTGGTCCCTTCCAGCTTCTGTGATTTCATGATTGCATATCTAACAGACTTCTAAGTCAAACCTATCAAATCTCGGTAACTGTTCTACTTCGGCAGAAAGTGAACAAAGAGAGTAAAAGAAAACAGAACTTCAAAGACTGAGTTTATTGTCTCTGAAACTCATAAAGTAGTCAGGTACCAAACTGCATCCTTCCTTCTCTTCAGTCAGTGCCATATGCAACAGGAGTTATCCTTGCTCCCTGTAACAGACACACATTGGGAAGGAATCATTTATCTGTATCACACAGTCTGTATATTTTTGTTATCACCTAAATCAACAGCATACCCAGAATGCTGAGGAACCACATAAATATTTTCCTGTCCATAACTGGCAACAGGGCAGCAAGGTCTAGAGCAATATTTTCAGCTGAGATCAGCCTGCATCTCATATTTTGGTTGTTCAATCAAATGACTGAAGCAACCTGACTATTCATGTCTTTTCCTGCTCCTCGGACTTTTTTTTTCTGGAATGCAGGAAATCTGACCAGAGTTCAGTTTTCAGGCTATGTTTTTTTCACATAACAAGATTTCAAATGTCTCTAAAAAAAATTTAATATATATATATTGGAATATATTAGTTACCTGTAATAATTGTATCCCCTTTATAGTTGAAAGCACAGGAGAATATTTCATCAGTATGACCTTCTAATATCTGAAGGCAGTGTCCAGTAGAAGCGTCCCAGAGTCGAGCTGTTTTATCAGAACTGGCTGTCAGTATAAGATTTCCTTTAGGGTTGAAACATACCTTTAAAAAATACAGAAATGAGTTTTGTTACTTAGCAAGTGGATGTGCCCAGAGAAAGAAGTGTATGTAGTTATTAAAAGATGAAAATACAAGCAGACATTCTTGAATTCAGTTTTTCAACTAAAATTACATATAGTATTCCACTAGAATCCCACTGGCAAACTTCTCTGGTTGAAAACTTTGTGGATTTACAAAGGTCTATAAACAATGACCATGCTATAGGATCAAAACTTCAGAATACCAAGCCCCAAAATCACAACTGATCCACAACTGTAGCAACTTTATTGAAATATTATCATTATTCCAATGTAAAATGTATACATATTTTATAGAGTTCTACATTAAATAACACACGTCTCTATAGTATCAGAATTTGCACTGAAGGCAATTCATTTTATAGTTTGTCTTCATATTTGTTAAACTTTCATTGCCAAAATTGCATGCACTTCCAGATAATCAGGTATATTTTTCTAGCACTACCCAGACAATACCAGCTCATTATATATTGCAAAATTGCTTGATCACGGAAGGCAAAATGTCTGTTCCCCAGAAATCCAACTTCCAAGTATAACCTTCCCAAGTGGTCACAGCTACACAGAATATCTGCAGAAATACATGGACTTTTCAACACGCTCCCAGATGAGCACATTCTCACTTCCAGCAAGGAAATCCTGCTGGCTCTGAGGACGATGATGGAAGCTGGCTTTAACTCATTCACATGTCAGCAGGTGTCCCGACTGTACCCAGTGGATCTACACTGAGTGTGAAATGCTGCAGTGACTATGGTAAATGAGGAAATACCAGCCTTTCTAAACTGAATATTCTCTCAGCAGAGTGATTATAAGAGACAAAACAATCAAATAAAAGAATGTGAGTTCTGTTCACTAAGAACCACCCTAGTTTCAAAACACAAATAATTCAGTTTCAAAATATATCCAAAAAAAAGCAGCACAGACTTAGCTTTCTAGCTTTGAAGCTAGTGAGAACTATCCATTTGAAAGAATAATGAAAAGTTGCAAGTAATAAAGAACAAAGTTTGAAAAATATGTACAGTGTTGGAAGCAACTAAATGTATTTGGAACAGAACTTTGGTGTTCAAAGTTGAGCCAGATAAGACTTCCAGCAAAGCACACGAGCACACCCCTCATGACCAAGTGATTTTTGAAACAGTCCTTTAAGCACTTTTGAAAATAAGACTCTCCATGTCTTTATCCACATAAATATTTTTTGCTGTTCCATAAATCAGATGTGCAGAGAAAGCCATTGACTGATAGCTTTTAGCCAAAAGGAATGTTCTTTCAGTAAAGATAACTTCTTAGCCAGACCTCTCAATTTTGAACATTAATTATTATATCCCCACATGCTTTAACAGTATTTCTGTGTCATGGACTGGGTGTCAAACATAGTCAAATAAAAAAAAAAAGGTGCAAGCCACAGACAACTTACCTTGGAAATTTCACCTCCATGACCTTCTAGCTTTGCAATGCACTTTTTTGTTTGTGCATCATAGACTCTTGCTGATCCTGTTGCAGTAAATGGGGAGCCAGATGTGACTGTTATGCTTAAGCATGCATTTCAATAAGAACATTTCAATGAGGTCAGAAGGAACTCATCCTCAGGTTTCATTTCAAAAGAAATAGAAGGCAATCTTCACAGAGCTTCCTCCAAGGGTAAAGTCTATTAAAAAGGATCTGTAATCTGTTTGGAATAGCCTGACTTTCTTTCCTGACCAGAAATGGATTCTCCTGGAAAACTTCTAAAATGCAAATACAAATGTCCACATAGAACACAGACTACTGAAGTCTGCAGTTTCAGAAAGCATGTACACTGTATCTAGAAAGCTTTCATTATATTTCAGATACTCTTGTTATTGAATAAGCCATTCATTATACTTAATAAGCTATTGATTAAATTTCAGGACACTTCTTACATTGTCTTTCGCCTAAGTATAGCAACTACAGCAAAACATATCCAAAATAATGCCCCCCACTCAGTCTGGTATAATTTTTTCAGAGATGCAAATCTAAGCCCTTATATATGTAAAAATAATATGGTATTGTCATTATGCATTGTAATAGAAATAACTGAGCAGGTAAATAGAAAAAAACCTCTTTATTGCAATTCCTAAAAAATAATGAGCATGTAAAACTTTTGCATACCAATAACAACCCAAAATTTCTTCTTTCACTGCCTCTGTATTGTGCATTCTCTTCCTGTGCATTTGGAAAGCGTGGTAGTAAATCCACCAGTAAAATTCCAACTATTTTCATTTAAGCCTAAATTTGAGCCATAAAAATCAACTCCCTCAAAAGCTATTTACCTGCACATTTAAAACTTATTTCCAGCCACAAGTGAAATATTTCCCTCCAAGCTTGAAGTTAAAGCGGACAGACACACCGAGTTGATTAAAGTATGAAAATAAGAACATTTTCACTGGAGAAAACTGCTTAAGGTTAATGCCAAACTTTCTGTAATACAACAAACATTGCTTGACCTGTAGTTCTGAATCAAATACTCCTCTTCCACCAAGCTACACTGACAGCCAAACCCCTGCCCCAGGATTCTCGCAGCAGCCCGCTCAGCGCACTCACCGTCGGCAGAGGCCGTCGCAATGCGCTGGCCGGTGAAATCAAAGCAGACATCCAGCACCTCATCCCTGTGACCTGCCAGAGTCGCCAGATGTGTCCCAGTCGCAGCATTCCACAGCTGCACAGATAAACAGGGGGGATTGTTTTGCTTACTTTGACTAATTTACTCGATAGATACCCAGTTGTTTGATAAAGCAGCATATAGAGGCCCATTCTGATATCTGGCATGTATTAACAAGAAAACTGGATATAAATCAATAAAGAGTCACTTTAGTGACACTTTTTTTAGTTTAATAAAGTCCTATATATTTTTTTATTTCAGTCTATTGATTAAACAAGACTTAACTGGACTCCACTGAAATGCATAAGCATATAGGTTTTACATTCAGTTGTAATTTTTTAATTAATTACATGTACTAGTCTAAAATAATGCTATTTTATTTAAAATATATATATTTTTTATATGCCAAGGAGCTGTATTCAGTAGATACTCAACATACTCACCATGCATGTCTTGTCCATTGATCCGGTGACAATGAGGGAACAGTCCCAGTTGAACTGGGCACTGCTGATCTCTCCTCGGTGACCTATCAAAGTATGTACCTTCCTACAGGAAAAAAAAAAAGGTAATTTACATTTATAGTGTCTATTTTGATAAATATATAGAAATTATTAGTAAGTCTATAAAATGTTACAGTTAAGGTGCACGTCTTCACCATTTTATCCATTAAAGCAATTAAATGGAGTGGTACAGTTCATTTAGGATTCTTCCACTACATCAGTTCCATTTTCTGCCTTTGATAAAGAGAGGCAGTAAGGAATAAAATGGAAGAGTCCTCCCTTCTCTTTCAAAACTACTTTACTGAATGTATTTCCAATGAAATGCAAGACTTGCCAGTATCAGAGATGAATTCCTTGTATTCTTCTACATATACAGCAAGTTTTTCCACATTACTCTCCCATTATCCTACTTCAATGAACTGTAAACAGTACATCTTTAAAAAACTCCGTGTAATCTAAACCTTTTATAAAATCCACTGAAGATCAAATAGGACTTAATCAGGTGCTTAATGTGAGCATGTTCCCAAATAACAGGCAAATGACGGCCAAACTGAAATACGATTTCTAATCCTCATTAATCCTAAATTTCTTGCTGCACAAGACTGGCAGTACAAGTTCCATTAAATTCTTCAGCTTTATCAGAACAGAGAGGTTACAATTAGCTGCTATTGCTTCCTGAGAATTAATGGCTGATAAGGCAAGGAAGCCTAAAAAAGATTGAGATATATATGTATTATAGGATTAGCAAATTGGGTTATTATCACAATACTAATATCACTCTGTCATTAATAGAAACACGCTTTAAATAATGGATAAATTAATGACTAGGAAAACAACTAAATTAGTTTAAGTGACTGAAATGTTTTTATTCGTTGTGTAAGCTATATAAGGGTAGCTAAATTATGTTTATTAGTGCTTTAGTACCTGCCAGTGCCAACATCCCATAGTGCTACGGTATGGTCAAAGGAGCCAGTGATGATCTTATCTCCAGTGGTGTTGAAAGAGAGTGCAATAATTTCTGCTGAGTGCCCCTGGGAGGATTTTTAAAAAGGAGTATGAGAATACAGATTATGACCTCTCCATTAACATAGTTTAATATGTAGGATTTTTTCAGCAGCATAACCCTTCTATAACCCATTGATGTTTTATTTACTGTCTTGTCCAGTATATCACAATTTTGACAGGAAGACCTACCCAGCTTGGAACAGTCAATATCCCAACAGCTGCAAAAAAGCAGGCACACACACCCCTTCAGCAGGAAGCTTACTCACTGCATATTATTTAGGATTTACACAAGATAAATGCATTGAAACACCAGAGGCCAATCTAAACCCGTGGAATCCCAGCAAGCCAAGCAGAGATGCCAATCTAGAGGTAACTGGATGCCTGTCCTCTGCTGATGTTCCCAGGAAGATCCATACAGAAGTGATCACAATTTACCGTATAGCAGCATGTTTTAATGAGGGCATTCTAATCTATAGCAGGAACATCACTGAAATGAGAAAACCTGTCTTTTGATAAATAGGGCTTTTTATAAAATACCACAGCTTTCTCGTTCCTTTCAAGCTTTCTTACTCTGTTTTGTAACTGCAGTCACTGTGGGACCGTGTGGTAAAAGAAACTATGCAAGTTTTGAAACTGTTGTAATAGTTATACTGTTATTCACCTCAGCTGGAAAACCAAGAAAGTAAGGAACACCTTTAAAAACATAAGGCAAACATACTCTTAAAGTGGCTACTTCTTCTCCTTTCTCTATGTCCCATAATTTGGCAGTGGTATCCATGCTTCCAGTTGCCACCACTGTGCTCTGAAGATTAAACGATAAACATACCTGTAGAAAGAAACATTGGATAGAAAAAGTGAGAGTCTGTTTATATGTATTTTGAAAAAAAAAAAAAGGATCAAGATTAATAGTTCATGGCATACAGAAAAATTGCAGAGTTTTTCCAACAGCTCAAAATTAACTGGCAGAGAACTATGTCTTCAGTATCTATGATGCAAAAGATAAGCTTATGCAATCTTAATAAACACTTGCAAATTTTTAAACCTCCTCCTCTAACTCCAAAGAGGTTTTTATCTTCTTCTACTTCTTTCTTTTTTATTTCAAAATTCAACTTCTTTATTTCAAAATTCTCCTTGAAGTTCTCCAGTCACAGTTCAATCCTGCTGACAGTCCTCCCTAACACTATCATTTATTTGGTAGGCTCCCTCTTTAAGTTGGTTAGTTGGGGCAAAGACTCTCCAAACAGTTTTGTGAACCACAGACACACTCTGTACACTCACACTCTTACCCTCTCAGGTGTTGTTATCTATGTCATTTGCCAATGGCGTCCCCACAACATCATATTTATTTCTGAATAAGCAAGAACAAAAGCTCAACAATTTGCTTAACTCATTTTTCACATTAAAAAATCATGCAGTCATCCTCCCGTTCTCTGTAATTACTCAATATGATTGTTCTGCAAATAAAGAATGGGAGGTGCCACGAAAAAAAGGAAAACAGTAGCTCTGTTTTTTGAATACTGAATAACTGTGGACATGCCCTTGCCAGCAATGTATCAGCTGCAATAATAGCCTTTCAGAAACAGGCCTCATTCAGAGAAACACATCATTTTCTGCTGGCTGTTATCTTCTACTAATTACTTGCTGACACAACTCATAACACTCTGGGTCTAATCTAACCCCTACAGGAGTCAGAAAAAATTGAGATGCCTTTAAACATTTACCTAACTGATTTGGGGAAGCAAAATCACTGCAGCCTTTCTCAAAAGGCAAACATCTTCTCCATGGTGAAGGATAACTGTTTCACAGTATCCAGAGGATCAAAAGCACACTGAAACAAACCTCACCTTCCACCATGGTAAAAAACCATTTTCTTGTACTAGTTAAGGCCTCACAACCTACATTAAATTCCTTTTTCTTTTCCCAGAAACAATGTCCAGCAATATTTTATTGAATAGTGATTGTACAGCTATTGCTGTTGCTGATAGGGGTCCTAGTGCATTGGAAAGGAAACCAAGAATTATTAAGCTTAAACTGTTTAAATTTCATAGATCTCTGACATTTCAGCATCCCACATATTCCCAATTAACACAGTTTAAATTTCAGAAATTCATTCTTTGTGACTCCACTTGGTTCTGTACAGGAAGTTCAGATCTATGTGTGAAAGACAAGACAAGCAATGATGTTCTTCTGTATTTAGTTCTGCAAATGTGAGAGGCAATGCAAGATAGCTAGAAAAAAGTGTGATATGTAATCGAGCAATAAATATGTACAATACACTGAAAAATCCAAATGCTATGGTATTTTTCAATGTTTTAACATTTAGCAATCGAGGGGAAATTGGAACAAAGTAAAAGTAAAAATATTTATATGTTTCTAGATATATGATGGTTCATTCTCTCTCTTCAGAACTATCAGACTATCTTCTCTTGCAAGGCAGAAATGTTAATATCTGACTGTGTGAATGGATGGAGCAGAATAGCTGTGCTTTCCAGCAGGAGCTCATGGGGAGCTGGAACCCACAATCACCAACCATAGTTTGAGGAAACATAAAGGAATAAGAAATATCCAGCACTACTCACTATTTCTGCACTATGCCCTCTGAAAGTATGATAACATTTTCCTGTTTCCGTGCTCCACAGTCTGCAGGTCTTATCAAAAGATCCAGTGGCAATCTTGTCACTAAATGGAAAAAAAATCCCATCATTTCCAGGTAGAAAAAACCTCTGACTCCAAAGAGCAGAACTCACAGAAACAATACCCAGCCACTGAAGCTTGCACGCCCTGCCACACCACAAGATTCTGCAGCAGAATTAGAGTTTCTAAGAGAGCCACTGTGCTTATCTGTGAGCACAGAAGTGTTCATAACTACCCTACTTTAGGGATGATGTTACCTGCTGCACTTGCAGGTGCATTATAAACTTATGTGATTTCATCAGATAACAGCTCTGTTATCAACCATTATAGACTCCCTGTGTAAGCAGTTTACCCAGATTTCAGAGGTCAAACTCCACTCCCACTGAAATCAGTGGAAGTGGTATGACCACCTGCAGTTGGAGCAGGACTGAACTGAAGTATCCAGAAAATGTAGCCAGGGACACTGCATCAAAACCTAAAGATTAGTAGGAAAAAAACCCTCTTTTTAAAACGACTCTTTAATGTAAAAGTAGTTCAAGGTTCTGATCAGATTCTCTTGTGTCTATCTTGTTTCTCCCACTTTTACCATCTAATTATTGATTTTTGCACAGATTTTTGTCATTAGTTTCTCCAAGGTATATAAAAGATTTTCATTAATGGGTTTTTTTTTTAAAGTGAAGAATAACATCAGAATATAAGACATTGACAAAGCAGGTTTTCCTTTTCATATCAAAGAAGGAGATGAAGCTTCAAACAGTGTAAGAACAAGTCTTTAACATTTATTTCCTGACGTTAACTGTGTATTGCTTAACTGATAAACAGGACACCTGACAGCAAAAGAAGTAACAGGATTTATTAGAGAAATAGGAATTAATTTATCTTTCTTGCAGAGAAACAAAATTATTTTCTCACACATGATAGCTTCCCCAGGAAGCAAATGACAATGAAACTTCAGTAGCTAACATGTAATTCCCTTCACCTAACAGGTGGCAATCCCAGCCTAGGGCAAAGTTATTAGTGCACAGATTCATATTTGACATTCACACAGCGGCCCCCTGTGGATTTTACAAATATTACTCAACAGCTGGGGACTTCTAAGTTATGCCCTAAATAATAATGAATGTGTAATGTCAAATGGAGAAATCCACTTCTGTTGTGACAGAAATGTTCCTTCTCCTGAAGCAACACAGATTGTCATGAATACTTATATCTCACATCACACACAATTATGTGGAGGCAGAAAGAATGATCAACCTTCAGAACACAATCATGTAGGTATTACTGAAATGAATCTGTGCTTCAATATAATAAACTGACTTATATATATATATTTCAAGACTGAATACGTAATCATATTTGTGGTTAGAACATCTAAATTTTATTTTAAAAAATTATAGCAGAAAACATGTTTGAATGTACAAATAAACTGGTGTCTTCCTGCAGTGATTAGCTATAGCTGAACTTTACAAATTCAGAAGTTGAACTCTTTCAATTTGAAATAGTCTGTTTTACGTTAGAGTATTAGCAAAACAACGTGGTTAGCAATTATGAGGTATCTCAGAGGAAATGTATTTACCCATAAGGATTATTGAAAGCTATTGCATAGACGACGTTTTTGTGTCCCTCCAGCGTACGAAGCTCTTCTCCTGATGCTGTATCCCAGAGTTTGCAGGTTCTGTCATAGCTCCCAGTGATGAAGCTAAAGCAAAGAGAAATTAAATTCTGAATACAGTAAATATCTTACTGGTCCTGATGCACAGCCAGATGAGTTATTTTCACAGATTTCAGTTAGCACCGTCTCAGATCCTAAATCTCTTTCTTTCAGAAATACAGATTAATAACCATAGAGGTTCTTTTCTTCTTTTAAAAACATATTATTCCTAACAACACCTTTCTTCTAATCTTGGATGTATTTCAACTAGAAAGCAAGCTGCTGCTTTCGAGACATGAAGTAAAAAATGGTAAGACGTATGTCCACAGGGAAATCAATGAACATGAAAGTTACACTGTCACTACAGTGAAAGTCCCAACTGAGTTTATGTCAAAGACTCATTTAGCTTCTAGCAATACATAGTTTATTGCCATAAAGGTGTTTCTGACTATAACGTGCTAATTATCAACAAACAATCACCTTGCTGCACAAATTGAATCTCTCATGCCATTTTTTTGCATCTCCCATTATTCCTCCCACAGAGGCCTGAACTATAATCCCCAGCTGTGCCTGAAGCTGCTTATGAGCAGCACAGCTGAATTCTTTTTTGCAGCAAGAGGAGAGCACTGAAGTTCCCTTCCCATTTAATTTACAAATACAAAACTGCAATTAGTGATTGTGTATTTTGACTTTGAAAACAACTCACCGGGAACCAGATTTGTTGAACGCTACATTAGTCAGTGGCAAGAGATGCGTTCTAAGCACCTGAAACAGAAGTGGGGCAGAGAGGGCAAAAAAACATTTGATGCCAACAAAATTTAAAAATTGCTCAAAATATTCAGCAATTTTTTTCTCCTTCTGCTGTAAGACTACCAGTTACAGATGTTATACATTAATCCCTGAATAAAAAATTCCCTTTGTGTTATCAGGTTATCAATTAAAATATTATACACTATTTATTTAAAATTATTTCAAAGTTACATTTTACTTGAATTAACTGCCCATGCTTGATTTTAATTCATCTTCTCTGAGACCAGCAAAGTAACCCTAGACCAGAGATGAACAGGTAAAACAAATGAGTGAGGTGACCATGCCTGCTGGGATCACTGGTGAAAGAAATCCTAATATTAAGACTAATATTGTCTTATAAAGTGAATCAAGAAATCCAACTGAATTGAGCATTTGAGTCTTTTAGGATAGGAGCTACTTCTAGCTAGCATATGATTTTTCTATAAAAACCAGGAGGAACATACATAAACTGCATCTATGTCCTATGAGATTATGACAAGACATGAGAAACCATAACAAAGACACTTGGCAAGACAAAATGTGAAGAGAGCATTTCAAGTTTAATGTCTACCTGTGCTGTGTAGGTTATGGAGGTCACTGTTGTCTAAGTTATTTCTAAGGTCCTTTAAACAGTGTATATATGTTTCATGGAAATGATTCTATGGCCACAATAATACATACTAAAGTTTATTAAACGTAGGTGAAAATAGTTTCAGACACTGCCAGTGGAAGTCAGCAGGTCATGATACTATAAAAAGGATCAAAAAACCGTACAATCTGGTTGGTGTTTGAATAAACTGGCTACAGAGTACAGTAAACAGCAAACAGTACAACAAAGTTTGCATTTGAACAATTCCCTGCCCTCTGCTCAAGTCTAAAGTATCATAAAATCATAAACGGGGAAATCACAGCACTTGCTGCCAGGGAAGTAAAGGGATGTTACAAACACCTCAGTGGCTCACGAGATCTCTTCTGTAGGGTAAGAATGAAGAAGAATTGATTTATGAGCAATGCCATTTAATCACTGACATATTACCAGAGCTTCAACTTATAGTCCTTATCTCAAGTTTTCCAAGCTGCCTGTCTCCAAAAGGAAAATGAAAGAGGCTCATTGATCTTCTGCTCAGAAGAGAAGGGACTGATCAAAACGGAAATAAAAATGGTCAAGTGAAGGACTGAGAGAGAGAGAGAAACAGAAAATGTATTTTATGTTACAGAAACAATAATTTCTCTTCTCTTGAGAAAATAACATAAGTTGTACTTTCAGCTACAGCAGTGGGAGTGATCAACTAAGATGTGGAAATGACAAAAATATTTTGATTTTTAAAAACAGCCACAGTATACAAATATCTGCACATGAGAATGGATAATTACGGAAATTTGTGGAAATTTGATCCGTGACATCTTTAGGACTCCATGCAGGCAACTCTGAGCAAAGATATTCAAAAGTTATGAAAAAAAGGGAGGAAAAGAAGAGGGGTTTATATTTAACTTCATATCATGGGACTAATTCTGTTCTTCCAATGCCCAGTGCTGCAGTTTCTTCATTCACATAACTCTGAGCCAGGGAGAATTGCTTGTGCAAATGGTGCAGTAACAACAATATTAAAAAATTATACATCAGTTCTGCAAAATCTGCTACAGCAGGACCTAAGATAAAAATCTGCAAATCTCCAAAGCATCCCATGCTCTGTCATAGTTTAAAACCTGAGAATTGTTAGAGAAGCTGGTTTCTCTGCGGGGTACCTAACACACCACCACCACCACCACAATTACTGGAAATAACAGAAAGATGAGTTCAGACACTTGGTTCAGATTATGCTCCAGTGCAACAGGGAAAAAACCATTCATTTCCAAACAGTGCAAACACATGGAAGATTTCTGGGGGAGAAAAGAAAAAAACTCTCACTCCCACCCCACCTCAGAAGCACCCGATACTCATGTTTCACTTACACTCAAAGGTGAACAAGCATTTGAGGATTTATCAGTCTCTGTGATGAATAAACAATTTTAAAAGCTTTTGAAAAGCAAGACATTATCTCAGTTGAGATCACCCCTTAAAAGAGAACAGAAACTTCTTAAATTTAAGATGCCCTATTACACAGCACTGTTTTCAAGGTTAAATACACTTATCTTTGCAGAATTCAACCAGGTGTGTACCAGTGGTCAAAAGAACCCAAGTTATATCTAGGAACCTGTAAGAGTTTTTTAGCTGGACAAAACTTCTGCCTTTTCTCTCTCAGTTAAAGTAACAATAAACAACATAGCACTGACCAGCAATTTCTAACAGCTGCACATTGCCATCTGCTGACACAATAAAGACACAACATTTAATTATTTCAGATTGCAACGTGCAATTTAGGTTAGATATTAGGAAGAAATTGTGTACTGTTATGGGACAGATTGGATCCTGGATTTGGAGCTCTGAATGGTCTCTTTAAGCATTGTTCTTAAAAAGCTTACTTGTTTGAAATTTTTGAAGTGCTGTCTGTAAGCTGAAGATCAAACTATCAATATTCAAACAAAATAGTAATGACAGAAAGTAATGAAAGCCAGGATTAGTAGTGACAACTGCATAAAACCCCCATAACTTTCACAAAATAACAGCACAAACCCCATAATTTTCACAAAATGAAAAACAAGTAGAAAAGGGTATGAAAATACTTTGGTCCTCTCCCAGCAGCTATTTTGCTTGGGGTCTATTTACAGGTTTTGTTTAAACAAACCAGGGGTGTTGCTGGTCCATAAATTCTTATTTGACAAATAAAAGATTTATTTCTCTCCATTCAAAACACACTCTTGTGCATTAAAGCCTGTGTAAAGTTTAGGAACAGCCTTTTGGGGGAATTCCTAGCAGATAAAACCAGGCCAGACTCAGTTGCTCTGAGCAGTGCAGAGAGGATTGAAAACATTCAAGAAATCAGCCATAAAGTCCAAATTTTGCTCTCCAGCATAATATGCAGCAGTAAAAAGATACTCACAGCACCACAACTTAAATCCCCCCAAATGCTCCAAGTTGTTTTAAACATGTCTCTGACCTTAAAAAGAGAGAATTTGTGATTCTCTTTCTCCCCCAGCTTCTGCTGCAATCTTTGTACTAAAAGTATGACGTGTTCCACATAGGCAGCTGTGATGAGGGGTTCTCCTTTTCGAATTTCTTCTACTAAGGCAGTGACATCTGTGCTAATTATGAGAAAAAAAATATCATTCTGTAATGCCTTAAATCTTTCTTGGTTTTTATGCTTCCTTCCCTCTTTTACTAAAGTTGTACAGAAAAATTTAACTGTCTCAAAACTGTAGCTTGGCAAGAAATCTGCTTTTCCAAAGGATTTCCATAGAGGGTCAGACATGGGAGATGTGTGTCCCAATCTGTTACTTTTGGAATAAATAGCTAAATTAAAGTGGCATTTCATAAATTCCAAATTAATTGCCCATGAAGTAGTAACAAGATAAATTATATATAGAAATATATATATATGTTATATCTCTGTCTATGGTTTTTCAAATTTATGCCTGTTTCTCTAACTCTTAGTTATGATAACTACCATGAGTTATAGTCTATGATATCCATGGAGCTCCCAGGAAGTGGCTCACAGGCAGTCTGTGGAATTGGATCATCTCTTCCTATCATCAGATAAACTCCTGATTCCTGGCCACCAGCAGAACGAGAAACTACAGAGCTGACAATACCCAGCAGTCAAAGCACCAACATGCTCTTGAAACAAGTCCTAGGAAGAAAGCCAAGCAATTCTGATTTTATGTAAACTATTGCAATCTAAAGGGGATTTTCTGTATCAGTCCTCTAAGATCTCCATAAAGAGTACACTCTCAGTGTTTATACTCCTGTTCACCAGGCAATTTATTTCTTTAACAAAGTGCCTCCTTAGGTTTTATCTACACTACTACTCTGGAGAGCTCCAGGTAGACAAAAAATTGGCAATTTTTAAATTTGGATTTTTCATCTTGCATGTGCAGCCTACATTGTCTACTGACTTTGGCTTACATGCAAGGACTCTTCCATGTCACTGCTGGCATTAAGACAATCATGCTACCTCATGCCTTTCTGCCCAATAAACTCCACGGATTTTGGCATCTTTATTTAATGGTGCCATTTTCTGTCATCTTTCTGAAGCTCTTCCCACCAGAGCTGGATGAGCACAGCAGGTCAGGCTCTGTGTAATAGCTGACCTCAATTATGTTTAAAACATAAGTCAAAGAGAGTTGTATATGAGCATGCTGTAAAACAGTAGGGCACTGTTATCTGAAATAACATCATACTTACTCAGGTTTAAGATCCAGAAGATCTATAGGTCTGGTCTTTGACTCACCGCCTTCGACATATTCCAAAATAATTCCTTTAAACAAAAATGATAAATGGGTCATAATTAGACTTCTGGAATTTCATAACGTGTTATAGACAGCAGTGCTTCCACTTTTACTACTCCACTGACTTCAGGAGATGTATTTGCAGTTTTGGAACTGGAGGGAGGTTGGCTGTTCTAGCTGAGAGTAAGCAGAGTGATGAACAACTCTGATGTGCTTATATGATAAAAGATCCTAAACGATATTATTTATGAGCCATTTTCTATTCTGGAAATGAACCATCTCCTTTTTCCAACAACTTTTTGCATCATTTCATCGGGTGTATTTTTAAAGAAGCTGAACCGAAGATATTTGCTGGAGTTTGGTGTTCCAAGAAGCCTGGAAAACATGTTTTACAAAACCTGTTATATTTATTCCAGCATTTGCAAAGGCCTGTGTGCAGTAATGAATAAAAAAATTATAACACACTTTCCATTTCTAGGGTTGCTCTGGCACCCCTGCAACTTTCACTGAGCTCAAGTATTAAAATGTTTAACCACGTGGCTTCCTGTTTTGAAACAGTTGATTATAGGGCTCTACTCCTCCTTTGTTTTTCTGTGGGAAAGGACAATTTAGATGAATTTCTGTGTCACTCCGCATTTTAGGAAGTTCATAAGAAAAGTATTTCATTTGAAAGAAAGCTCTTATTCTAGTAGACTTCCTGAGCTGGCCATATCCATCCTGTTTCCCTTCTGAAATTTCATTGAGGCTCCTGCCCAAGCTGAGGACAAATGATGATAACAGTGGCAACACCACTTTCCAAAGCGTGGTTCTGCTCAGAAAATTCGTAAACTAAAAAAACCTAAGAATCACAGAATCAACTAGGCTAGAAAAGACCTCTGAGGTCACTGAGTCCAACCCATGGTCTGACACCACCACGAACAAACTACGAGCCTGTGAATGAACAGCAGTGCCAGGATCAACCAGATCATGTCCGGTCTTTCCTGAAACACACCCAGGGACGGTGACTGCACCATTCCAAGGTCTAATCACCCTTTCTATGAGGAAATTCCTCCTGATGTCCAACCTAAACCTCCTCTAGCACGGCTTAAGGCTGTGCCATCCTGTCACTACCTGTCTGGGAGCAGAGACCGATCCCCCTTGCCCACCACCTCCTTTCAGGGAGTCGTAGAGAGCGGCTACTTTTTTTTTTTTTCTTTTTTTTCTTTTTTTTTTGGCTAACCAGGCCTTTAAACAACAGTGTTTTGTGCCAGCTATTGTCATCACAAGAGCGCCGTTATTTTGCAGTAAATCATCAATTCCAGCCGCGATGCGCTGCTCCCAGCCCACACCTCGACTCCCTCCGGCCGCGGGGCGCGACCCGCCCGTGCCCCAGCCCCGGCCCCGGCGAGGAACCCGCACCCCCCCTCCCCTCCCCGGCCTCACGCACGACACCCAGCGGGCTCCCCAGGCGCGGGGCCAGCCCCGGAGGGTCCGCACCCGGCGGGAAGTAGCGCAGGAGGAGCCGCCGCAGCCCCATGGCCAGCCCGGCCCGGCCCGGCCCGGCCCGCGCGTCCTCCCGGCTGCCATGGCAACGGCCCGGCCCGCCCCGCCGGCCCTCCGCACCACCCCCTCCGCGGGCCGGAGAGCAAACAAATAATAACAACAAATAATGATAATAATAATAAATCAACGTAACTTTTATAAAGGTAAACCCCGGGGCTGAAGCACAAGGTTGAAAATAGGGTTCGGAATCGTTAAGGCTGGAAGAGGCCCCGTGATCGTGGAGTCCGACCGCGAGCTCGCACCGGCGTGTTCACCGCTAAGCCGCTGAAATAAAGGCAAGATAAAATACAATAAAAAATTAGTTATGCTAATAAAATTTACGTATGTTAAAAAAATGTAACTTCGCAAAATTGTAACTGCTCGAAAGAAGGTTGCTGCCCAAACTGTGGGCATTTAAGATAAAGCTAACTTACATAAACAAAAGGGACTGCCAGGGAAAGTAGGAAAGACTTCCAGCATGGAGCATTGCAAGGGAGACAGAAGAGGGGTCTTCTGTCACTGTTGGAAGGGATAAAACTTTATGTAACTACTCTATAGTAGTAAGAATAGGAGTTAGGTAACTAAATGTCTATTTAGATAAGGCAGACTTTGTAAAGAGTGTCTGTGATAGATAATTTTGAAACTCACTCCTTCAAATGTATGAAAAGCTGTTGTGTTTCTTTATTCGGTGGAATGCACGGGGAGGGCAAAAGCCCCTGCAACTCCCCGGTCGTAATAAAAGTGTGCTTGACATATAGGTCGAGGATTTCTTTGAATCACCGTGTCCCCAACTGGCACATCCACACACCTTTTGAACGCTTCCAGGGATGGCGATTCCACCAGTTCTCTGGGCCATCTGTTCCAAAGCCTCACGGCACTTTCCGTGAAGAAATTTTTCTTAATATCCAATGTAAACTTCCCCTGGCACGATTGAGGCCATCTCGTTGTCCTGTCACTTGTTACCTGGGAGAAGAGACCGACCCCCACCCGCATACAAGCTCCTTTCAGGTAACCGTGGAGAGCGATAAGGTCTCCCCTGAGCCTCCTTTTCTCTAGAGACTGAACCCCCCCCAGCTCTCTCAGCCGCTCCTCATCAGATTTGTGCCACAGATGCTTCCCCAGCTCCCTCACCCTTCTCTGGACAAGCATTTCATCAAAGGCAGAAGGAAAAAACATAATTTAAAAAGGATAATCAACACGGAATCGTTAAAATATAATGGTAGAGCTAAAAATCTGAGCCGAGCTTTATGCTGAAATGATGGTACAGCATCAATAGGGGGAAGCAGTAAACACGTTTTCATGTAACCAGCCTCACAACCTGCATTGTTGACAGCGTATCAATAGAAGACAGTCCCACTCAGTGTTTAAAAATACGTGACTTTTTCCAAAAACACCCTGATGGCTCCCTGCAGCTTCACTTTGAAGACAGTCCTTTGGTTTTTGAAAGCCAGGAAGTAAAATACAATGGCCAATTCCAGATTTACCCCAGAACATGGCTGGGGGACAAAGTTTGTTTAAATCTTTTGTCTTGTTTGTATGTGGAAAGTCTTGGGCAGATAAGGAATATTTTTGTTGCAAACAGGCAGAACGACTTTCCAACTGAATTACCTTACTTGGATTGAGCCTAATCAAAAATAACTCTTTGAACAACCCCAAGTCTTGATGGTCTCTAGTTTCTTAACAGTTTTTTGTGTTTGTTTAGCGTGATATGTTTCCACACAGAATATAAATATTTTTCTGTTCTTTTAACTTAAGTGATGTGAACAACGAACATGGCACGGACACTGCCTCCTACATTAATTTGTTTGTTGTACACAGAGATTCATGCAGCCTTTCTGGTACCTTCAGCATTACTTAACACCTACTGCAAGTGCTACATTTAATTTTTTTTCGTTAAATTTAGAGGTTTAATACATTTCTAGAGCATAAATGAGGAGTATCTGCAGTTCCACTGTAGTTTACGTATTAAGCATCTCTTCAATTCTGTACTCCAAGACTGAGTTTGCGTCATTGAATCAATTATTAAACCTTGACTGTTAAGCAGAAATACAACTCTTCTTCAAGCTCATGGAAATGAGCAACTAGTGCATGCTTTTAGATGGAAAATTTTCCTACTGTGGGGCAAAACTGTTGCCCTAATATAGTTTTAGTATCTCAAGACTGCACACAGCATCTGAGTCATGAAAGCTTTAAAGAATGCACACTGCAGGGAGTTAAAAGATACCTAAACTGGAAAGAAAAATTAAGTGCTCAGACTGAGCTCAGGATGAAATCATCAGCTTTTATGTACAGAGATGAAAAGCATTGGTCATATCAGCCTGGAAAGATAACTTACATATTAGTTATTTGCTTACGTCGGCTGCTTCTAGGAGTGGTAGAAAGTTAAGGCACTATAAACCTAATCAACTCTACATCCAAGAGCCTTTGAAAGACTGCAATATACCCTTATCTACAGTGCTGGAGACAACTGTGTCAGACAGTGTGAAGCAAAATCAGTTCAGTTACAATGAAGAGCTTCCTTTTGGGAACCCCGAGTTCTTCGTGTTCAGACGTTCTTTTCTCGAGCCGCTGAACTGTCCTAAGGATAACAAGAAGCAAATGTTTCTGACACAAACAGGCTTGCAGAGGAGAGTGGGGTTTAGGCTTCCTGATTTAAAGTTGTATCGTGACCCACTTGCTCTGAAGTAGGTCAGTCTGTGGTATGCTGAACTCAATCAGAAAGGCCAGCCCAAGAGTAGTCTGAGTTAAGGGAAAGATGTAGAAAGCCACTTCCTATTTCTGCTATGTCAGTATTGGGTGCAGTGAATTTTTACTAAGGGGAGTTTTTGTGTGCTGTCCTCTCTCATCATTGTCAGGCCTGACAAATGCAGAAGGACTTTGCTCTGATAGTTCCTTGTTCCTGCTTGGTGAATTAAATGGGTTTACATAATGTTTTTTCAAGGTTGTTTTTTTCTGGCATAGATAATTTGCTTCCTCTTGTCCAAACAGACTCAGCTACATGCATACTCTTCTCTGTGCATTGCTAGAGCTCCTTCTCCCTTCTACTCTGTTATTTCCAGTACTAATCATTACACCACAGCCATGAAAAACGTTAAAACTCTATTATTTGTATAAGGAAAACGATCTTCTGGGAATTCGCTGTTTGCTAGGTAAGAGCTATTCTAGGAGAAAGAAATGACAGTGTGTTATAGAAAAGACAGAGGGTTCTCTTTCACACAGATTGTTTTCAATCTTTGCATGGCTGTTTTCATCACTTTAAAAATCTCAAATTAAAAAAAAAAATTAGTTGCAATTTACCAAGAAAGTGTGTCACCTACAAGTTTCTTTTCACAGAAGTAGCTGGATGTGCTGTTCACCCACAGTGAGATAACAATGAGTATCAAAAAGGAACAGTCTTTTCTTTGCTCTTTTTTCTATCTTCCATCACTGACAAATTGCTTGCATATCCCATCCAGTCAGGCAGTTCCCTACATCCTTACTTGTTTCAGTCAAATTTTCACTTAGCTGAAACAAGTTTTTCCTTGCTGTCCACTTTTCAAGGGAGAGCCTTTTCTCTTCAACCTTGCAAAACTGATGAGTTTACCTGACAGTGAAAAAACCTCCACACAAAGAACCCAGTAAGAGATACTTATTTTACCATTTCGGAGAAGAACTCAGAAAGCCTTTAATCTTCCTTTCCATGGCCCAGACTGTGGGGGCTGAAGACCTTTTGTTAAGTAGAGCTCTGCATCACTCAGACAAGGCAAAGCTGACGGTACGGGGTAATTACATGAGTATTCTGTGGTCACCTTGTCTGAGCTGCAAGATAAAAGCCAGGGAGTTTTCTAGCTAGAAAAAAGAGGAGCTCTTCTACATCTACCTAATACACAATTGGGTCGAACCATGAGCTGGGAGAAGCAAAAACTCCTGACAAATAACAGGATTTCTAGTGAGTGTAGAGTAACATTGAAAAAGATAAGCAGTGAAAACCACTTTGTTTTAGAAAAGACAGCTTCACTAAAGGAGAAGTATGTTCATCTCACCATTGTTTTTAATAAAAAAAAAGTAACTCTTTTGTGATTTCATGTTTGATTTTTATACTGCCAACATTGATTAAACATTCCACATAAACCATTCTGTTTTGTACATGTTGTTTTCATGGACAGATCATTTCAATGTACTTCCTATGGGTGTATGAAGTGAGTGTATATCAGCCATTAATTGTAATAAGCACTAATACAGCACCACCCACTTTACAATGAAACATTTTTGCCTACTCTCATACCAAATTGGAGGATGCTACAGAGTGAGCAACTCTGGGACTTGAAATATCTCATATATCTCTGAGACTGGCATCATCTCTGAAAGACATTTTGACCATTTACTCCAAGTCATAACAACATGAAACGTTCAGATGCTCACAGCAACACATAATCATCTTTTTGAACCAGCTCTATTAAATGTACATTTGAAAAACAGAAATCACTGTAGGAGGACATACAGCCAAAATGTTATTTTTCAAATATACACGACAAACTGTTACATGAACATTTTGATTTGTATTCCCTAACTACAGCTACAGAACACAGCTTGTTCGTGCATGACATACTGCCACATTTGGAAGTTGCTCTTCAGCTTGATTTATCTGCCACGTTAAATCTATCGAATTCCCATTTTTCTGCTTGGTAAGTTCATAGTGTTATCAGTTGCTTTGTGCCTGGCCAATGATGCTGCAAGGATATTAAATTACTAGTTTAATCCTGACACTGGAATTGACAGTTTCACAGCAAATTGGACCCCTTGCTTGAACCCATCTCACCAGCACAACTCAAATCAGATGGTTTGATCAGTCAGTGCATAGCACCTGCTGTTCCCCCAGGTATCAGTCTGCAGCTCCTAACAGACTGTGATGTTTCTCTGCCCTTGGTACCTTAGGATGCCATCTGCTGTCACCTCAATAGCTGTGTCTACGAATTCTTGGAATAGAGTTTATTCCCTTGCAAGCCACGTTTAGAACAATGTATGTTTTGAGTAAATTTTATCATCCAAGAGCTATAGGAAGGGTTGAGTACTTGTTGTACTAGACCATCCCACACATAACATTTTTGCCTGCACATAAATGTTTTGCCTTTGCTTATGGGCCTGTTGCCAGGAGAGGAGACAGTTCAAGTTACAGCTTGAATCACAAGTGCACCTAAATTTTGGCTAAGAAATTGGAAATGCTTTGGGCACTGTTTTGTACACTTTGGTAGGTGGCTTCACTAATCATGGTACCCCAACTGGACTATTTCAATGTTTCCTGTTTCCTAACCTGTTTCCAGACTTTTTATGCATAGAACAGAAACCCATACCAAGTCAACTCCCACTTCTAGATCAGTCATCTCTCCTGAGTCAGGTAGTTCTTGGACACTCTTATCCCTTTGCTGGCACTATTAGCCCTGGAGAATCTGCCATGTGCAGTCCCTCTTTCCTCATTTTTGTACCTGCAGCTGTGTGGCTGCAAGGGTAGATAAAATCCCTCTCATATAGGACATGCACTGGAAGTATATCCAGGACAATTCCATACATGGACACTATTTAGGGAATATCTGTTTTCCCAGGGAGTCTCAACCCAGATTATCAGTTGTCTCCTTGATACAAAGAGGGTGTAAAAAAAAAAAAATTAATGGATTTTTCAATATAAAGTTAAGGTGCAGCAAAATTTCAGGAACATGGAAATGTAGATGAAGGTGCTTACAAATAAAATTGTTACTTTATTTTGGGGGTATAACTGAAGTCATAGGAGCAAAACAACAGAAATGCTGTCGTAAATTAATAATAAGAATTAACAATAGTATTTTAGTCTCTACTTCTCCTGTGACATATTTCTGTTTTAACCACACAGTATTCTAAATTTCATCTGCTGCTTTTACATTTAATATGTTATTTTTGATTGCATAATCTTTGAATGATGCTATAAATTCAAGGAAGCTAAAAAACCTCAGGCTCCACGTGGGCTCATTGGTGTTGGTGATTGAGTGCTTGGGTTTCAGATATACTTGGAAACATGCACACTGCAGGCCAAGGGTCTTCACCCATTTGCCTCTTGGATTTGCAGGTACTTTTCAACCCTCCTTTGCGTGGAAGGTGGAAAAAAATAGATGAGGAACAAAGAAACAGTCTTCAACTGATAGCTAGAAGCTACTATCAACTGAAGAGTAACACAACAAATAACTTCTTCATATTTGCCCTGCAGGTGAAATGTGGCAGGGTTTGTATTTTCCAGAAAATTAAATCAGCAGAAGGTTTGCTATTCTTTACAAAAATCAGTTTCTTTGCAAAGTTATTTTGTTGCTTTGTGCAGGGGTGTGATTAAAAAAGAACAAACAAGAAATTAGTAAATCTAATTAGGATTCTTACGTGAACAGAAAGTATTCTGTCAAAGATCCTAACAAAACAAAATGCTGCAGTGTCTTGACTGGGAATGGTGTGAGACTGGTTTATGGAAAGAAAGAAGAGAACTATAAATGAAGCAAAAAATATTTTTTTTTAAACCCACCAAAAATAAACAAACAAACAAAAAGCACACAGAAAGAATATGCACAAATAGGATTCAACAGTAATACTCCAGCTGGTCCAAGAATCACTGAGGACTGCAGCACTTGCTTATAAAACCTGTTTGTATCCTCAGGAATACACGGAGGGACATGTTATTTTTACACAGACTTTTGCACCAGTAACAAACCAACTTTATCCATTTCTGATACTGAGCATAGAAACAAATATTTTCTTTTTTTTTTTTTTTCTTTCCTACAAAAGAGGTTGGGTATAAAAAATGTTCAACCAGAATAAAAGTAACTAAAAAGAAATCCCATAAGCCACAGCTCTATGGATGAAGCATGTGGGGTTTTGTAGCAATGAGACCATGGATGACCAGAGCAAGGACGAGTTACAGAAGCAATACAAAACTTTTAGCAGGCCCAAAACTAGGGAGCAAAGAGCCACCCACAGAATTACACACATTTTTCTTCACTTTCTTATTTTGTTCCTCTGCTTTGAATTCACTAGCTTGGTCTCTAGGCTTTTCTGCACCACATTCATTCCAGCTCTGGTTCCTAACATCTCCACCAACACTCACCTGTTCCCAGGGTAGGCTTGGGGAACTCCACCTCCTGACACTTCTAACACAGATCCACTCCTCTTGTCTGTACCATCTTGTTGGTAGCTGATTTAGCTACAAACTCTCTAATCCCAAACAGGAGCCCACAGCAGTTCCAGCAGGTAAGGGGGGAAAGGTTAGGGAACATACTGGGTAATAACTCCTCCCTGGGAAGCTGATAGCTTCCCACCTGATATCCTCGGCATCAGGGCATGGAATCCACCTGCTGGAAATTAAAGCTAAATTATCTTGTTCCTTCAGAGCTTCCCTCAGAGAGAACTGACAGTTCCCAGATTTGCAGAGTGACAGGCAGACTGTTTAAGTCCTAGCAAGTTTTGATACCAGAAAGTAACAGCCTTCCACTCATGACCACCTTTTAAAGAACCCAATACATCTCAGCTCCTCTCTCAAGGGCACCAAAAATATTTTCTATTTAAGTTTAAATTAAAATGTCTATGACTAAGAGGTACCAAGCCAAGGTGTAAATTTATCCATAAGACTCCAGTGCTGACAGTGAGAGAACTACACAGCCTACATGGTCACATCCCTGAATTTCATGTTGGCCATGTAATAGTACATAAAAAGCTGAGCAGCTTTCCCCATTCAACCTGCACCCATCTGCTACCTTCCATGAAGTTACTTTTATCAGGCATCATTGACCACCATCAAGAGATCCTGCTCCAGGAAAACCTCATTATGGTGGAAGCCAGAAGATACCGTAGGAAACATAAAAAGGGCAGAACATTTCTGCAGATTTCTCCTCTGGAGATAGTCCTTTAAGTTTAGTGCAGATTGTGTTACCATAATCAATCTTCCTCAGTGACAGTATGTGTAAGATTCCTCCTGAATAAACAAAGAAACACGTAAAAGAAAGTCTCTCAAGTCTGATTAAGATCAAAATGAGCTAAGAACAGGTCATCATGTTAAGCAAAAGCTTGATGTGTAGAAGTTGTCTGGGGGTAAGGAAGCAAGTATGTCCTGTGGAGGTCATAGCTACCCCCAGGGCAAGCAAAGTGATCAAGGTGGAAAGTGCCTTTAACAGGTGTCAACACACTTGTGTAATTGTTTCAGCTGGAGGCTCATAAGCAAAAGAATTAATTTCAGGGGGAAGTCAGGTTTTTCAATTGAAAAAATAAACATATCACACAGAGAGTGCTGATTTTAACATTTATTTTTTTAAGCTGCAATTTCCTTTTTTTTTTTTCCACAGGCAGACTTTGTTTAACAATAGCTCAAGAAGTATTATAATGCTAACTACAGCTAAAAGGAAACATTTTGGCACCAGGCAGTAATAAAATAAACAGAATAAATAACCCACTTTACACACACGGAACAAAACAAAAACAACATGCAATGAACCAAATAAAATTCATACTGTACAACAGCTTAATGTAGCCTTTACTAAATAATATCATGTCATATATTAGTGCACTTATTAGTAAAAATAGAAACTGTAACAAAATGCTTAATTCAAGCAAACCAGCGATGCAATATGAATCGACTGGAGAGGCTCAACGGTTCCAAAGAAGCCTGAGTTAGAGGAGGGTAAGCACACAACAGTGTACAACACAATCTCCACCAAGAGGTTGCACCTGGTGGTTCTTCAGCCATGTCCCTGTTTGGTTCCTTGCTGGGAACAATATCAGACTGACATCCTCTTGAGCTTGTGGCTGTTGGAAGAAAGAGAGGACACACATGAATAAAAACCTCAGCCCCAGGCCAGCTATAGGTTTCTTCTCTGAGAAAATAGTTCAGGTAGAAAAAGGGACACGTAACGTGACTGTCCCTGAGAAGACTCAAAGAAGGAGTAGCCAGTTCTGACAGGAGATAGAAAGACAAATGTGTTCACCAGAGCCATCAGAAGTAGCATTCAGGAGATGTAAGAAATAAGCTTTCACACATGGCCTGTTTTCATCAGCCTGTCAGTATTTAGGTGTTTAGATTCCTACCTGAGGAAAAGAAGATACTTCTTCACCCAGCCTTCCTTAGGATTTGCACAGGCCTTCAGCCCACTGTTGGTGTGGAAGCTGGAAAAGAAATAATGATAAAGAAATCAGTAAATAATTAGAAATCCCTGCTAGTAAATACTGTGAAGATATATTTTGAAAAAAAGAAAATGTGTCATAGTTACTCTATATAATGAATAACAACTGCTTTTGTAAATGCCATTCATATATGGGATACTGCAAACTCCTCCAATATTATGTGAACAAAAAGAAACACCCAATGAAATTTAAATGCAATAGCTGCTTCAGTCTCAGGGATCATTGTTTGCACCATAAATTTGTGTTCAATTTATTTGATCCACTCGGACAAAGACCTTTGCTGGCTAACCAGAAATAATTTGTGAGGTCAAGGAGATTAGTCGCTGTCAAGCTAAGGTGACAGATCAACACCTAGTGGGGCCAAAACCTTGTGGAGAAGGAAATCCGATCCCTGTGAATTAAAAGAACCCTTATCACTTATGTGTCTGCTAACAGGTCTTGGCAAGGGAACACCCTGTGTTGGCTGGAGCAGCCCTCAGCTGGAGACAAAACATGTCTTTGTTTGCACAGCTGATTCCTAAACAGTCAGATTTATTATTGCCATTGTATGGCTGTCCCTGTCAACTAGAGGCTGTGTGTTTTGTTTACAGGTATTATATGCAATTTGTTCAGTTAATTTAGCTTTTTGAAAAAGCAAGAAAAATCATTCAGGTAATTGTTTCTGCCCAAACAGAGAACCTAAGGTTAAAACACATCGGAAAAACTGGAGGATCTTCTGAAAAGCGACTTACATGATTGCAGGGATATCGCAGACTTCACTGGAGAGCTGCTCAGTGTAACCCTTCAGGGCCCAGCGAGGCAGACGCACTTTGGTGTAAGACAGGCAGCAGTCGTGATTGCTGTGTGCTGGGACGAAGGGAGACAGCAAAGTGAATAAAACCCATTTGGCCCGACCTGCCGTGCTCTCCAGGTACTTGCTGTTCAGCCCCCCCACCCCAGCTATCCAGCTCCCTCCTGACAGAACCCAGAGCTCACTCACCTTCGGAGGGGCTGCACAGGAGCAGCACCAGGAGCCCCAGCAGGGAGACCAGGACCGTGCTCTTGCTGCTAAAGCCAGCCATTCCCGCTCCACACACACTGCCGTGCTCCACCGAGTGCTCAGCTGCTGCCTGCCTGCCCTGCCAGCCCTGCCTCACCTCCACCTGCTTATAAAGGGGTGGCAGGAGCCACGGGAATTCACCCACGGGCGGGTTCCACTGTCATCAGCGGGTTTCCCCACAGCGAATTCCATTGCGCCTGATTCTGCCCCAGCACACCTTCCTGGTACTACAACCGGAGATAAGAGTGTAACAGTGTACTAGGGAATATTTTTTTTTTTTTTTAAGTGGCTTAATAGATTCAGTCTAAAAGAAAAGGAAACAAAAGGGTGTGAGGTAATGGTTCTGTGGGTAAAGGATGTGTAGTTTTAGGGGTAGGAGTGTGGGTTGTGAAATGAGGAAAGTCACATGTAGGTGACTCTCAATGTTACCTACAGAAACTGTGTGTCTGCTGTGTTCCAGTTTAATAAACCCAGCCTGGGGGCTGGTGGAAGTGGGCTGACCCAGCAAGATTCATTTCAGTATGGTGTGTTCACAGAAGCTGTGATGATACCAAATCACTACATTAATATTTACTGGTTGGCTGACACAGTAACATCAGGCTTTGCAGATTACTGCTTTCTGAAATCTAGACTGTGGTATTGGTAAGGACATGTGAGCAATATTGAGTATTCACAGAAATGGATTTCTTCAGCTTCCTATACCATGTATTCTCTGCCATCAATTTCATCCCATTTGTTACACGTCTGAACTATTTAATCTGAAACAGAGCGAGCTTAAAAGCAACCTGAAACAGGGTCTGTATTTTCCACCGAATCTGTGATGTCCAGAATACATTAATGCTGCTTCATAAACAATAGCTGTAGCTCACTGCTTTCCCATCCCAAACCGTACCTGGCTATTGCAACTCCTGAACATTCAAAAGAAAACCACAGAATCTTACAATTGCCTCACATGGCTCTGGAGAAACCCCAGGGAGAGGCTCTGTCATCACTGCAAGCACAGTGTTTGAGCTGCTACTGAGGGACGGTGCTTTCCCGTGCTGTTTGGGGACCTGTGTGAAAATAATGGGTTGGCTGCAGGCCATTTTCTGGTCAGCCAGTGTACACAGGAGCTGCCACCGGCTCCAGGTGCTTACAGAGTAACCTGAGCTTTAAGTGGCTTCTGTTAAGGTAGAGCTCAGGGACACGGTCATCCTGCACAGACCGCCAGTACCTCTTTCTAGAAATGTGAGCGGCTTCAACTCTAGAACAGATTGTTGTTCAGAGAAAATAATTTCTCCCTACAATGGCCAGAATTTAGGGAAGCTCATGTGGCTGGGGTGTACATCAGCAGCCTTGCAGTGTGCATGGCACCACACACGCTGGAGATGCTTCTCTGCAGAGTCACAGCCCCTGGACAAGGGACAAGGCCACAAAGAACGCAGGCTCTGACGTAATTATTTTATGGATCATAGTGAAATGCCATAAAAAATACGTAAAGATCAGTGTTCTCAGTATATAGCTATTTCTGTGACTCTCTGTCAACATCAGGCAATGCCTCAAACATGAATGGTAACACCTGAGACACTTTGGCTAGACAGTTTTTTCCTTTACACACAGATTTCAAGGATCCCAAATCTATTACTCCTACACCCAACTTCACTGTTTCTTATGCCATTTCCTAGGCCACACTCTTCTCTACATGGAGGTGGCCTTGCATCTCAAGTCTCCCTTCTGATTCTGCAGCAATATTTCCTCTCCAGTCAGTGCTTTTTGGAGAGAATCTTCTCATCTGAGCATTGACACTGCTACCTAAGCAGCAGCAGTTTGGATGCCAGAGCAGTGACAGAAGCAAGGCTGTGCTCACCCTGTGCTCCTGCCCTCAGGCAGTTTTCATCGCTCCACCAAGTGACCAAGGCTGGCATCGTGCCTCCTCCTGTGGCAGCTGGACTGCTCCTTTTATCTCGTGGTTTGTTTGTTTAGGAAGTTAGGAAAAAGGTAAAGATTTAGATTTAAAACAAAAGCCAGGAGGGGGCCCCAGCTCCAGGAGCGCTGTCGTTTTGCTTGCGCTTCTTGTGTAGAAAGCGCCTTCAGTTTATTGGCACAAAGTAGTTAAAAAAAAAATAAATAACTAAAAGATTTATTGCAAACACAGCCAAAGCACAAGGGGCATCAACCCCAAGTTGGGAAAAGGGAAATTCCCATCAGCCACAGGGAAACCCCCTCTCCAGAGCAAACAGGGGAAGCACTGGGACAGGCTGGCCAGGAGAGGATGTGAAAGCTCAGTTTGAATACACCTGCAAATACTCAAACTTCATCCGCACGTGGCCCTTCCCTGAGCGTGATCTTAAATTTGGGTTCCTCCCCAAGCCATGATCAAGCCCACATTATTTTTTCTAGGTTTTTGTCACATTTAACTCTCCTTTTCTTATTTTAGTTTCCCAACTTGTTTGTCTTCCTGACTTGACTTTGCTGTAAGCTTCTCAGCTCCCTCCTTCTCCTGTTGTCCCTGCTCAGGTTCCCCCACAAACCTTGCTCTCCATCTTCAGTGCTGCACTCACAATAAGACAAAGCACCAAAACACAGATTGACAAAGTGTTCAGCCTCTCCTCAGCTTCCCTTCCTGTTGCTCCAGGGGCCAGAAGGAACGAGCTCAAACCCTTCTGAGCGTATTGATGTCGGGGTTTAGAGATGTAGCAACAAGTGACAGCATTTACAACATAGAAACTGCAGATAGCCCGAGCCAAGTGACTTAAAGAAACAACGAGGACGAGAAGTGAGGCAGCCAGAAGGCAACACCCAGTCACTTCTTAACCAGGTGCATTGTCCTGAGGAAGTTCACAGCGTGGTTACTTAGAGACACCACTGAAGATCCCAGATGAAGACCCTCAGACACTTTATAAGGACATGCATCTATGCTAAGAAATGCTGGGAAACTTTGTGAATAAGTAACAGGAATGAGGGGAACAAAAAATGAATGATCATGTACTGATGATACCCAGTGCACCCAGAGCAGATTAAAGGATGCCTGGCTTTTAAAGCTCACAAATTGGGCCTTGGAGGTTTCTTTAAAGTGCTGCTTTTAGGCAACAGTATTACAGAAGATGAGGCAAAGACATCTGAGGTGCCAGTGCTGCAGAGCCATTCAGTTAGAGCTGTGGAAGGAAAACTGAGTCTTTTCCATATAATAGCTATACATATATATATATAACTTTTATATATGTGTGGGGAAAGTGACAGTTCTGAGCAGTTTGGGGGTGTTAGAGAGGAGAGCTACCAGGTCAAACTGCTCTCAGACACCACCAGCAAAGCTACAGCCCCTTGATCTGCACGTCTCCAGGTCACCAGGCTGCTGCATCCTGGTAAAACGCTCCTCTCTCTTATCCCAAAGGACCTGCCCAAAGTCTGAAGTGCTGAAGGGACTTAATAGTTCAGCCTTGATAAACACCCATATATCAGTGGGAAAATGGCCATTATTCTGGGGGGATTGCCTTTGAAACTGTAGCCCCACAATGGTAATCTCTTTGACCATGCAGCTCCTAAAACAGACCTACAGATACAAGGCTTAAAACACTATTAAATTCTGAAGAGAAAGATAAAGAAGGAATCTTATGATCATTAACTCTTTGATTGATAAACTTTAGCTTATAGTAAATTTATGGGTTTAGATCTAATAAATAGAACGCAAAATAAGTAATAAATCTAATAATCCAATAAATCTAATAAATAAAAAATAGAATAAAATAAGAAATCCCAAAACATCTCTTACATATTTGGATGTTGGACGCTGTCTCTATCTTTACCTGTACCCTACAATGAGAAACAATGACAATTCCTAACTGACTGGCAGTTAACCATAACTTCCATGTTTATTTACCCTCACAGAGAGATGTTGTTTTAATGCATATTACTACCTTGTCTGAACTGATGAAAATAAGGCATTACAGCAATAGAGGAAAAACAGAACTGAATGGGGGAAATTCCCTTCTGTAATTTCCAGTGGCTTAGGGCTCCTTTGACAGAGCAAAGGGCACCAGAAGGCACTGCCTGAAAGGATCACGGCCAAACGCAGGGATTTAATCATTGCACAATTCCTGATGATTAAATACATATTAAGTCCCAAGCACAAAAGTTCCACAGGTAGCTTGCTCAATATCTCTGGAGCTTTAGAGGCTGTGATGCAATTCAGTGATTTCACGCAGCTCAGCGCTTGCGCGAGTGACAAAGTCGTTATCTGGAAGAAGAAGGCAATTGTCACTAATTACAGGTTGCACTTGGTGAGTTACAGAGCTAGAAATACTGTAGAATGGCATGGCTTTGATGCAATTATGGACAAATCATATACCTGTTGGGAGAAATTAACCTCTCATCTATCGAAAGTGCAGATTATGAGGAGATTGGTGCACCTGCTGTGAACATCCCAGCATCCATCCTAGCACTGCTGGTTGCTTGCTCCTACATACATGTTGAAGCTGAGTATCCAGTGTTCTGAGAGCACAGTCAGTGCTTCTCCACTGCTGTGATCTGGCTAAAAGTTTCCCTGAAATGTACAGACTCCAAAGAAGACCTGGAAAAGGAGAATGGCTGGAGTCAAAATCCACAGGCTGAACATCGAAACGTCTTCCAGTAATAACAAATCAGGTTTGCATTTTAAAAGTATTTAATTCAGAAAGACGAGAAAAAGATACTATTCCTTGGAAATTATGGAAGAGATATACATGACATTTTCCAGACCTTGAAAAGAATATAGGTAGGGAAAAAATAAAAATCTGGGACTTATAATTTTTGTTAAAACACAGCTTTAGGTGGGCTGAAGCTATTTGTGAATTCAATGGAAACGTGGTTTTGTATAAAATCAGAAGAGAATAATTTACAAAATGTGAAGCTGCTTTTTGTCTTGTGTTCTACGTTTGCCTCCTCAGGTAGACCTAAAGCAAATAAAACAAACCTTACAAAGTAGAAAGGAGAAAGAACAGCTAAGCAACATGAAGCAGCAAAGTTTTAGGTTTGCCAAGAGGACTCGTTGGCTGAAGGTTTCACTAA